GGGTGGGCCGGAGGGCGGGCGCCACCGCTGCGTCTGCCGCGGCTATGGCCCAGTGCGTACAGTCAGTGCAGGAGCTAATCCCGGACTCCTTCGTTCCTTGTGTCGCCGCGCTGTGCAGCGACGAAGCAGAGCGGCTTACTCGTCTCAATCATCTCAGCTTCGCGGAGCTGCTTAAGCCTTTTTCTCGCCTCACTTCCGAGGGTATGTGGTGTCCTCCCTGTTTCTCTGGGAGAAGGAAGTTGGGGGCGGGTAGGGGAGAGAAGGGCGGTGTTTATGTTCCGGAGCCGGTAGAGTGGTGGCTGGGGCTGTGGTCCCGCGGTGCCCCGGGTGGCGGCAGGAGGAGGGGCCATGCATGAGATTGTCAAGACAGAGTGCTCCTAACCTCCAGCTTTTCTAGGCATTTGCTTCCTCTAACAAGCCGCGTCGTTAAGTAATTAATATTAAACGAAAACCTGAGTTTCAAGAAGGGCACTGGGACTGTTCGCCCGGGCTGTAGGGAAGGAATCAGACACATTTGCAAGGCAGCAGTTTAGCAAGATGTTGCCTATTAAGTCGTCAAGGTGTAAAGAACAAGGAAGATTTGTCATCCTCCCCTGAGTGTTGAACTGGAGTTTTCAAAGTTATTTTGATTATTATCTAACGTTGAGGCTTATCTGTCTAAACTTCTGATTAGCTATTTTTTTTTCTTTGAACATTTAAATATTAAGTATATAGTATAACCTCTCGAGAAAACAAATGTGTTATATGAATAATAAAACTTGTAACAACTTTTTGCCTGAAACATGAGGAAGTTAGGGACACTCGTGATTCATTTAGATATTTGAAGTTATTTAGATTTGTAGCAATAGAAAAGTCCTAAGTTTTGGTTTTCCAATAGCCGTTTAATCATAGAAACATGTGTTTTCATTGAGGAGTTATCTATTTTCTCTAGCTTTAGATTCTTCATTAAGGCGAAAGATACTGGTTAAAACATTCATAATTTTATTTGATCGGGTAATAAGTGTGGTTTAAACCAGTGTCTTGCAAACAGAACATTGCAAAAAGTACAAGTTCTTTGTTAAGGTTTATATAAATGAAGGGTTCTATAATAAACCTTTTGTCAAGTGAATGACTGATGTTGATTTGGTTAGGGTGACTTCTCCACCCAAAACAGTGCTTCACCATAAATTTCATGTATTTACATGGTACAGGTGTTCCTCATAATGATAGCTCCAATTTTGCTCTGTATTTAAAGAGGGACCTGTCTCAAAAAAGAAAGAAAGAAACAATACAAAAGCCTCAAAGTTTGGAAACTCTTGGATTTTCTTCCTTTTCTACCTTAGCCATTAGTCTCATCTCCTCTGATGTTGAACTAGGTCAACAAGAACAACAAAATGCCCTACATTTTTACAAATTCTTAAAAAACACACGAGTGTCAGTTTGACTTTGATGTGTGTACTCTCTCCTATGTTGTTAATAAAAACAATAATGCTCATACCTGATACCTGGTTTTGTGGCTTTTCTCTCTTAATATTCATTGAATCCTTCATTATTATTGCCATTTAAAATTTGAGGACATTAAGGCACAGTGGTCTTCTCCACAGTCTTATATTTGGGGAAGATTTAAAAAATATGCAGCGTAACTCAAGACATTGTGTTTCCAATCATCACATCTCCTGTCAATGTCGAGAATTACTTATTTATATTGAAGTACAGTCCTGTCCAATAGAAATATAATCCCACGGACTGGGGATGTAGCTCACTGGTAGAGAGCACTTACCTGGCATGCAAGAGGCACTGACTTTGATCCCTAGCACCAGTTCCCCTAAGATAATATGAGTCATGAATATAATTAAAATGTTTTAGTAACTAAATTAAACAACTGAAAGAGAAATGGTGAGGGTTTTTTTTTTTTTTTTTTTTGTGTGTGTGTGTGTGTGTGTGTATGTATGTATGTATGTTTGTGTTGGTGATTGAATGCAAGGTTTCTTGAATACTGAACAACGTCTCTGCCACTTTAGCTACACCCCAGCCAGGTGAGATTAGTTTAAATAGTATATCTTATTTAAGTCTTACTTTACCATTTCAATAGACAGTGTGAGATATTAATAGGATATTTTACATTCATTTTTATTGCTAGATCTTTGAAACTTGGCATGTTTTACACTTAAATTTCTACTTGGTGTAGAAATATTTCAAGGGCTCAGTAAGCCACAGGTGCCTTCTGTATTAACCATGCAGTGATATTCAGTATCAGTACACTTATGGTTTTACAGACTGAAAAGATTTAGGGAGTGAACATAATGAAGTATATGTTAATGATAGTTGGAGAGGTGGTGGATAGCAAAGGGTAGTCATTCCCTATTGGGGAGAGGATTTTGGGGGGCAAAAGGTATAAATTATGATTGAGTGGTTGAGGAACAGTGGGGAAACTGTTTCTGTTGGGGGTAGTAAGGCAGAATGCCAAGATAAGGAGGACCTTTGATTCTAGGAAGAGGATTTTTAGATTTCATATCTAATGGTAAATGTGAGGCAAGGCAGTGAAATTTTGGGAGGTAAATGAGTGGTGTGGTTTACAAGGATGATAAGAGTTGATATAAATTTTAACATTTAACATGATTAAGATATGGACTATGGTGGTGGCATTAGAAATTTGGTGAAAAGGATTTAATTTTTCTGTGGTTTAGTTTTTTTTCTGGTAAATATGTTTTGGGATTTTTTTTTGGTGGGGGGGGAATAGGGAGTGAACTCAGGGGTGCTCAACCACTGATCCACATCCCCAGCCCTATTTTATATTTTTTATTTAGAGACAGGGTTTCACTGAGTTGCTAGGCTGGCTTTGAACTTTTGATCTTCCAGTCTAACTGTGCCACTGGGATTACAGGCATGCACCACCACTCCCAGCATGTTTTGGCATTTTTAACAATTGGAACAGGCACCTTTTATGTTACCTTTTATTCCTCAAAGATAGCTTTTGTTTAGGCAGTAAGGCATGAAAATATCACTTCAGCAATATTATTTAAGAATATATCTATAATAAGTTAATACTTTCTTACAAAGAGAAAGGAATGTTAAAAAAAAAAAGACGACTAGATTTCATTGCTGGCCTGCAGGTATGCTGTTACTTATGGTAAAAATTTGCTTTGAATGCCAACATCAGGTATTGTCAACACCACATAAAAATAAATAAAGGTATTGGTATTGTGTCTTATGTCCAACTACAAATAAAAATATAAAAAAAGTGGTTCTTTTTAAAAAGTTTTTTTTTGTTTTGTTTTTGTTTTTTGGTACTGGGAATTAAACCCAGGGGCACTCAACCACTGAGCCACATCCCCAGCTCTTTTTTTGTATTTAGAGATAGGGTCTCTGAGTTGTTTAGTGCCTTGCTAAGTTGCTGAGACTGGCTTTGAACTCATGATCCTCCTACTTCAGCCTAGAGGTATGCGCCACTGTACCCAGCTGTTTTTTTATATTAAATGTTGGAGACTTACTGATAAACTCGATCAGCACACATGTTGTGATCGTAATACCTTTTTTCCCCACCTGTGGTGTTAAGGATCAAGCTCAGGGCCTTGTGTATGCATTCCACCACTGAGCTGCATATCCCCTTAACATTTTTTGAAGACTCTCTACTGGCCATTTGTTTTGAAGAGTGGTAATGTTAATATTAATTAGCCAAGCCTTGTTGTTTTTGCTTACCAATAGTTCTTTGATAATTCTAAGCAGTGGTTCAACATATCATTTAGAAAGTTTATAAATAGTTTTAAGAAACCTTCACTTAAACTCTAGCTTTTGAAATATATGGCTTTCATTTTTTTTTAATATTTATTTTTTAGTTTTAGGTGGACAAATATCTTTATTTTTATGTGGTGCTGAGGATTGAACCCAGCGCCTCATGCATGGTGGGTGAGCATGTACCACTGAGCTATAACCCCAGCCCCTGGCTTTCATTTTTGATAGGTGTTATTATTTCAAAATTGATTAGACTTATTTAAAGAATGAAAAAGATTGGAATGAATTTTTTTTCATAAACCTTGAGTAGTTTCTGTATGAACTAGCAAAACTGGCGATTAAAGTAGGAAATAATCTTTGCAAGATACTCTGTGCCTCTTGTTTTCTCAAATATTGTTAGGAACATTTCATCTTAACTACCATGTTGTTGTAACTAGGTAATTAATCTCCAAGGTTTTCAAGTATCAAACTCAGTAAAATTCAAGTCAACTTCTGTGTGTGTGTGTGTGTGTGTGTGTGTGTGTGTGTGTGTGTGTGCGCGCGCGCGTGTGTGTGCATTGATGGTATAGGGGATTGAGTTTAAGAATACAACTAAATTGAACAATTCTGAACCAATGTTTATAAATCTCATAGACTGAAGCAAGGACTATAGCAGGGTGGAGGTACTGGAGTGAGAAAAGGGATTTGGGCACTGATTATTTTAAAGAAGACATTTTTTATACCAGTGGAGTGCTAGGCAAGTATTCCACTGTAGAGCTACATCCGTATCCCCCAAAGGAAGGTTTAATACATACATGGCTACTTAGGTTGTTTGATAATTATGGTCCAAATTTAAGGAAAATACTTTTTCAGTATGTTTCTAAAGATATCAGAAGTGTATCACAGTACTCTTAGGGTTGATTGGTTTCTGTTACATAATTAGACCAGCTGGGAAGTTTAATTAGGGAGAGAGGCATGTATGTGTTTATTTAAACTAGGAAACATAACAATTACAGAAGAGTGTAGAGAATTCAAGAAGCATCCAGCTCTCCATTTAATAAATATTAACCCTCTGTCATATTTGCTTTTTATCTTTACTTTTCCTTTAAAAGGAAAGCAAATGTCATTACAGATGAGGGTGAAGTCCCCTTTCTGCATCACATTGGTCTCATTTCATCCTTCCATAACCATAGGTAACCACTCTGAATGGATTTGTGTGTATACGTGTGTGTACATATATTTATAATATAAGTGCATATTCATGACTTATTTAGTATTTTAAAATTTTTAGTCTTGTTTTTGACTAAAAATTTTTAGAAATCAGTGGAGAGATCATAGGATATTTATAAAGACTTGAAGTATAGGTAAGTCTGACCTTTAAAAAGCTTGTTTGGTATAAAGCATTTTCCACTGAAGAAAAAGAAAATATTTTTGTGTGGGTAGGTACACTAAACCAGTTATCCCAGTTGTACTGCTGAGCTACATCTGCAACCCTTTTTATTTTTATTTTGAAGCAGGTCTTGCTAAATTGTCTCTTCGTATAGGATAATCCATGATGCAGTCAGAATAGATGATGATGGACCTCCTGCTGTTTATATGCTTTTGTCACTAGTCACTAGGCATGGTGCTCAGTGCTTTACACTTACTTTCTGAAATAAATCCTTAAAATAACCCCTTGAAGTAGATAGTAATCACATGTAACAGATGAGGAAATTGAAACACAGAAAAGTTAAGGAAGTTTTCAGTATAATCTAGATAATAAGTGATGTGTTGGGATTTAAATTAAGGTGTGACTCCACAAGCTAGTTCTTTAATCTTTATAATGGACTGCTCCTAATATTACTCTGGAAACTATAACCATCTTGTTTGATTATGTGAAAAAGATATGCTTATATTTTTCAACTGTGTACTTTGGGTACTGTGTTGCTACAATCATTTCAGAATCTATTTCTTGTCCTGCAACTCTGAACCACTGTTTATAAATCTTAGAGACTGAAGCAAGGATGTATCAGAGTGGAGGTACTGGAGTGAGCGAAGGAATTTCAGTGTTGATTATTTTAAAGAAGATGCTTTATTTATTTATTTATTTTTTGCTGGGGATTGAACCAGCAAAAAAAAAAATGTTATAAAATATGCACAAATGCATAATCTTTTATGAGTGCTTCTTAATCTGATTTAAATGGTAAACTTTTTCATAACAAGACTGATAAGTGAAATAATATATTGATTTGTATAATAAGTTAGCTGCATTTGTCATGTAAGGTGAACATTCTACCAACTGAGCTGTATCCTCAGCCACAGGAGATGTTTTATTTTTTCTACCAGTTTTAGGGTTACAGTTCAATTGTGCAGGAAGTAGAGTTCCCACATATACCTGTTACTGTACATGCCCAGTCTCCCTTACTATCAATCTTTTATGCCACAGTAAGAATTGATTTTTTTGTTTTTGTTTTGATACTGGAGATTGAATCCAGAGGCACTTTACCACTGAGCTACATTTGCAACCTTTTCTGTTTTTATTTTGAGGCAGGGTCTTGCTAAGTTGTCCAGCTTCCCTCCCGAGTCACTGGAATTATAGGCATGAAGCACCTCATCAGGCTGGGCACTGATTTTTATGATAGTAAATTAAAATGAAGACGGAAGACTAGGAAAAGAATAGCGAAGTTCATTTACAGCATTTAACTTCCTTTTATTGATTTACCTGTACTGCAATTTGCAATGAGACATAGAGACCACCATAGACCTTACTCTGCCTGGACCATTCTTAGGGTGAGGTCAAATTAGAGATTTGAATGGATGGTGGTTAGTTTCCAGCAACTCTAAATATAGAAGAAAGGAAAGTACCTACTGTAGGGAAATTATGAGCAGCAGCATAATGTGAGAGGAAGTAATCTTGTGGTTAATAGACTGTCTATCTAGCTCTTTTGATATGGAAGGGAATATTGTAAACCACTTGTATTTCTGAAAGTGTTCCACTTGGCATTCCTAGTTTTTGATTTGAGTAGGCTTTTTGATTGAAAGCCATTAAACCAATTTTGATTTATTGTGCATTATAGAATTAATTTCGCGTTTTTTTCCTCTCTTTTAAAGTTCATATGAGAGATCCTAATAATCAGCTTCACATAATTAAAAATTTGAAGATAGCAGTGAGCAACATTATTACCCAACCACCTCAGCCTGGAGCCATTCGGAAGCTTTTGAATGATGTTGTTTCTGGCAGTCAGCCTGCAGAAGGATTAGTAGCTAATGTGATTACAGCAGGAGATTATGACCTTAACATCAGCGGTATGTAATAAGGTTTATTATTATTTTTTAAATGAAAATTACTTTTGTTAGAAAAAGTAATTCTATGAAATCATTGAAGATCATTCAGTAAATATTTAAGTATATGAAATGCTGGAGCCTGGTCCTATAGGACAATATTTAGAAATAATCCCAGGAATTTTGGCTCTTTATTTTATTCTGGTACCTAATACCCAGAACATGTATTTAATAAATATTTAATCAATGAAAAACAGTAGATAACATTTTTTTGGTGACAGAGTAATATTATAATTAAATAAAAATGTTGTTATTTTAATCTTGTTTGGTGATAAGTGGAGGAAATGTTTATAAAATATGCACAAATGCATAATCTTTTGTGAATGCTTCTTAATCTGATTTAAATGGTAAACTTTTTCATAACAAGACTGATAAGTGAAATAATATATTGATTTGTATAATAAATTAGCTGCATTTAATGTGATTCTTTTCCATTATTAAAGTCTTAAGTTTACTGAAAGAGGATGGGACAGGTTTTTAGAGGAAAAGGATCAGAAGTACATCACCTAGTTACAATCTTTCAACAACCTTATAAAATAATCTTTTTAGGCCAATATGATTTATCTAATGCTTAAATGTCTCCTAATAACATATTAAAAATTTTTCTGCACCTGTAGAGAATTTAAGTAGCATGTTTTAGGTCACAAAGTTAGTTGTGTTTGCATGGTTAGCAATATTTGTAAAATTAATTTGTTTAAATGTCCTATAATTTCTTCTTTCTTTGCCATTAGTTTTAATTTCAGTAGCTTAGGTTAATTTGGTAATTTAATTTTCTTAATTTTGGTGTGGGGGGATAGACTCACCGCCTTGTACATGGAAAGGCCACACTGTACTACTGAGAGAGATTCAGTTTGATTTAGAATATTATGATTATCTTTACTAGTCAAAAAAAATCTGAATTTTAGGGTACATATTTGATAAATGCCCAGCAATTAATTTATTTTATTTTTTGTGCTTTTGAGTATTGAACCCAGTGTTGCTCTACCACTGAGCTACACACTAGCTCTTTTCAATTTTTATTTTGAGATAGGATCGCACTAAATTGCCCAAGTCGCCTTAAATTTGTGATTCTCCTCTCCTCAGCCTCTGGAATAGCTGGGATTACAAGTGTGTAAGTGGGCCACTAGGCCCACCTAAACAATGTTTTCAACATGATGTGGAAACTTGAATATTTCCCAGAGGAAAGTCGTGAAGTTTGAATTTTGTCTGCCATAGTTTGTAGTGTGAATGATAATGAAACAAATGCTAAAGTGACTTTTAAGTTTTTATACTACAATCTCCTTAGTTAGTTAGATGACTTGAATAAATCACTTAGTGTTTCTAGACTTTATTTCAATCTTTGAAAACAAAAGTTTCACTAATTGTTTCTTTAGACCTTTCTCAGACCTTTAATCTGGTGATTCCATTTTATGGGGTCTTAACATATTTGTTATTCATTCAGTAAATATTTATTGATTTCCTGCTTTATGCTTTACATTGTGATATAGAGATGCTTTTTTTTACATTGAGAGATATGACATGTTTTATCAGTTCTTAATCTAGTTGGGAGACAATCAGTAATCATAATACATCTATTTGATAATACATTATAGTAACAATATGTTGTAAATACAGATATGGAATATCTGATATGCTAAAGTGCTAAGGGGACACAGTTATTACCTATCATATATTAAAAATAAAAGTATCAATTTTATAATATAAATATTTCCCTGACCTCCAAAGCCCCTCTCCTCTTTTCTTTTAAAACATGTTTGTCAAAATGATGTATACACATAGGCATAATGCTAAAAAGACCTATATGGAAAAAATAGCAATGCTCTGTTTTCTCTGTCTGCCATACAATTTCCCTTAGTGTTTTGCTCTAGTATTACATGTTCTAAGTAATATTTTTATAGTGTTGTCTATGTCTTAATTTTAAATTTTATTTATTAACTTCTAATTATGTTTAAGGAGTTCTTAGCTTTATCACTTCTCTTCCTTTTTTCTTCATGTTTCATATACAGTTTCCATGATTTCTGCTTAATATTCTCTGTGGTCTCTCAAAATTCCTCAGGAGAATTTTAAAATTTGATTAATTTGTAAAATAATCAGTTTATTTTCCTTGCAGAAGTCTTCCTATTTCATATGTTTTTAGTAAGGATGATATTATCTACAAGTGAACTGAAACTTGCTTTTTGGAGGGGACAGAAATTTTTGGATATTATAATAGTTTTGGTTCTTCAAAGGCTTATGTTCCATGTATTTTTAAAAAATTTTTGGGGCTGGGTTTGGTGGTACAACATGTAATGCCAGCTACTCAGGGGACTGAGGAAGGAGGAATGCAAGTTTGAAGCCAATCTGGGTAATTTATTGAGACCCTGTCTGAAAACTGAAGAAAAAGTGCTGGGGATAAAGCTCAGTGGTAGAGCGCTTGCCTGCCTGATAATTTGTAAGTCCCTAGGTCAATCTCAAGTAATGTTTAAAAAAAAAAAAAAAAGTATATTGGCAGGTAGGGACTGGGATGTAGCTTAGTGGTAAAGCATGAGCTTAACATATTGAAGCCTGGTTTGGATCTTTAGCACTGCAAAAAAAAAAAAAAAGTTGGGGAGAGGGAGTGATTAGGAAAAACATTGAAAATCACTCATTGGGGAAAGATAATGAAAAAAAAGTTGATAAACACTGCTCTGCTCTCTCTGGGACTGTTTATTCTCCAAGGCTCACTCCATAGCTGTCATCCTGGGGATTTCTTTCCCTTTTTACATCACTGTATTTCATTCATACCTTTGTGTGCATTTCATTGATTTGGCGAAGGGGATGTCTCCAATAACTCCTCCAAAAGAAAGGCAAATTTTTAAGACAGTTAAAAATTTTGAAGCCAGGCATGGTGATGCACAACTGTTATCCCAGTGGTTTGGGAGGCTGAGACAGGAGGATTGTGAATTCAAAATTAGCCTTAGCAAAGTGAGGAACTAAGCTACTCAGTGAGACCATGTCTCTAAATAAAATACAAAATAGGGCTGGGAATATGGCTCAGTAGTTGAGAGCCGCTGAGTTCAATCCCCAGTGCTCTGCCCCCCGCCCCCGCCCCCCAAAAAATTGAGAATTGAATATCTGAGAAAATATTTTTATTTCATATAGTTTATTGTTTGAATGTATACAATAGTAGTTAGAAATCTTTTCCCTCAGAATTCATTCTCTTTTTTTCTAGTTTCTAGTTTTGCTCTTAAGAAGCTAGAACTATTATGATACATATTCTCTCTATCCCTTCAACTTTTAGAAGATTTTAGAAATTTATCATCCCTGCCGTTTTGAAATTCCATGTTGGGCCTGTTATGACTCGTCCTTCACTTTTACTTTGAGCCCACTCCTTTTGGCAGTCTGGCTATTTACACTCTTTAGTCTAAAGAAATTGTGCTCTTAGAAATTCTTCATTGCTTGCTTCCTGGTTGTTTTGTGCTGCTCTTTCTGGAACCACTGTTAGTTGACTGTAGAACTTCTTTAAGGGTCTTATCTTTTTTTTTTTTTAACATCTATTTTCTGAATTTTTCTTTTTTTGTGCCATCTTATTCTTGGTATCTTAACCCTGAGGATGTTAATAAATTTTTTTTATTAATTTTTTTCCTATTTTTTTCCGTTCTCTTACTCTTGTTTTTCAAGTTTGTTTTGATCTCTTTCATTTTGGAGACTTTCCTCAAACATTTAGTAAAACCCCTTAGTGTTATTTTCTATTTCAAATTGAAACATTAAAACCCTGACTGGGCATAAGAAAAGCTTTGTCAGTTAGTGGACTTCTTATTGGGTGATGAGGCTGGGAATAAGCTTGAGCATTGCCCAGTTTTTATTATTTATAGCTCTTTTCCTTGGGGCCATTTAGTTTCTCCAGGGAAGGATTCTCAAACCAGTCATCTGGCTATCTGTGTACAAGGGGGCTTGTTTCTTTTAGTAGTTTATAAAGTAGGTTAGTAGTTGATAGGAAGAATGTAGTCATTATTTGATTGTGAGAAATTATTTTATCTAATTATGTTATCTGCATTCTCAGGGTCCTGCCAACATCTCTACACAAAGGATGATTGAGTATTATTTGCCTTTAAAAGCAGGTGGAGGCACTATTATAGCTGAACTCTTTAGGAAGATTTTTAAAAGAATTCCAAGTGTTGAGGATAAGTAGCAAAAGGAAACTATTCTTTTTGCTTTTTCCCTGATACTTTATGGCACCTTCTTTCAGCTTTATTTATGTATTTATTTTATACTGGGGATTGAACCTAGCATCCTGAGCATACTAAGCACATGCCCTCTACTACTGAGCCACAAACCCAGCCCACGGATTTATTTTTGTGGCTTTGAAAACTGGGAATGAAATATGATACAGTATTTGAGTCATTTGAATAAAATTCCATATACAGAATAATGCTCTTTGGAGGTTATTAAAAGGAATTTAATCTATTTTAATAAGGTGTTAATTGTATGTCCCGAGTATGCTTCTGATTTTTACTTAATGTAAGTCAGCATACTCTTCATCCATTCTGTTTAAGAAATAAATAGATGTTAGATATTTACCTCACAAGCCTAGCTTAACAGTGCCATATTTTCTTCATCAGATCGGTCAATTAAAGCTAGTGTTCCTTGGTACAGTAATTGGAAAGACACATTGATGGAATTGAAAGAATCCTCGTTATATACAGGTATTTCTTGTGGTGGTCTCAGTTTTCCAGATTGTTTTCTCTTTGCTCCTTGTCTATTGTCTCTTTTCCCACTCAGCTACTACTTTTCATGTTCATCCCAGTTAAGGTCTAATTTTTCTAAAGTGAAGGAGGTCTAATGGTATCTGTTCATCTTTTGTTAAATATCCTATTACTTATTATGTTTACTCGTGATTTACAACATATTTACTAAATCCAGGTTTTGTCCTTGAATAATGAGTTTGGACTGTGTCTTATTTTTGAAAAGGAAAAATATACTACCCTTCTTTACCAAGGCAAAGTACTTTCTGCACAGAGAAACTTTGGTAGGATAACAGGGTTGCTCTTTCAGTTTCTAATAAAGAACATACAGAGATGGAAAGGGTATGCAAAATAGTGATTTTTATCTCTAAATAAATACTAGAGAATTTTTTTTTTTGAGGAGAAGAAATTGGCACTAAGTATTACAGTCTCCTGTTAACATGAACAGTTTTTAAGGTATCACTCCCCCCACACTTTCTGTAAAACAGACAAACAAAAAAAACCAAAATAAAACGTCATTTGAACAATTATAAAAACAGAATGATGCCCTTGATTTATTGGCATTTAGCAAAATTAAAGGAGGACAAAAGAACCACAGTGTTTACATCTTTACAGCCCTTTAGGGGAACATATGGCTGAAAGAAAAACTTGCCTTATTAACCTGACTGTGGCCTATCTTAAGGATAAAAGCTCATTTCTGCCGTGTATAATTTTAAATTATTCCTTTGCTTCTCACATCCTTAGTTGAGTACCCAGTATCTTTTTGCATCAGTATATAGAAAATTATTAATTCAAGAACTTGTATCTGTGTTTGGTTTTTCTTTTTGATTTAACTTTAAGTTCTGCATACATTTCCATGGTTTCAAAGTCAAAGCTATAAAACAGTGTATAGGAGGTCTAGTCACTGTCTATGTTCTTTTCCCTTTCTCAACTTCTCCTTTCTTTTTCTTCTTCCTGTCCTGTACAGATAATTAATTGTATTAGTTTTTTTTTGTTGTTGTTTGTTTTGTTTTGTTGGCTTTGGTGGTACTGAGGGTTGAACTCAGGGCTTCATGAATGCTAGGCAAGCACTCTTCCACCGAGTTACAACCCCAGCACATATGTATTAGATTTATTCTTCTGTTATTTTTTTAATGTAAATAAATACATGTATTGCTCTTTGTTTTCTTCCTTTTCTTACACAAAGTGCATACTTTTCTCTTACTTTTTAAATTTAAAACTTAACATATTTAAGAGAGCACTTAGTTGCAGCACATAGAGACCTTCCACTTTTCCCATTAAAAGTGTGCTTTTTAATGGTCGTACCATAGTTTGTATAACCTTTCTCCTCCTGATGACATGAGGGTTTTCTAGTATTTTTGTTATTACAGGTAATGTTATGATGAAAAGCTGTTTTGAAAGGTCTATTTTGTTTATTTAGAACTGTCAATCCCCACTATAAAATATATTCCTTCTCATGACAATGTGTCTATAATTTAAGTTTAAGCAACAATGATGCAAGAAGGTAAAGAGAATGATAATTAAAATATATACAAATCTGTAGTCACTTAACCATATTTGTGGAGAAACCTTCTTATTTAACCAATTTTATTGTCTCTTTTTCTTGCTATTGGTACTAAATGAAAATGTTAATTTTGAGGCAGAAACTATTTTTGCCTTATTGACAGGATATGTTATTAGTGAGAACATTGGTTTTCTATTGTGAATAGATACTAGTCTGTCACTCATTCTCCAATTTTTTTTTTGTCATTTTTTGGGTATAGATATACTATTTGTAGGGATATTTTTCCTCTTTTATAGTAGAGAACATGAAATTGTTATAATAATATGCCTCCTAATCAGATTACAATATATGTGTTGTCCTCACATTGTATTTGTTGGAATTAAATTTTTGTATATTTGGCACCAGATACACTGTTTGGTCAAAATGTATGGCTTTTTTCTTCAACCCTCCAGTCATTTAAGTGGTATTATAAGCTGAAAACATATTTGCTGTGTTTCAAAAGTTAAGATGAAAACAAAGAGAATGCAAGGTTTGTTATTCAGCACATGTAATAAAAATAGAATTTCCTTTTAGTGAAACTGTGATTTAGATAATCTGCTTTAGCCTAATAAAGCCAAATAAGTTCAAATGAAAAAAGACTAGATGTAATATAAAGTGATTAGAATGGAGCAAGAAAGAGTTGGCACTCCCAAGAATCATGTTATATATAATTATACAAAAAAAAATGAAAATACTCAGCTTTGTATTTGATAAGGTAAGTATCCTTTGAAATTCCCTTTGAAGAGGCTTTATTGTAGTCATACTCTAAAGAATCAAATTCTAGAGTTTATCCACCACACCAATATTGGCATTTTGAGCCAGATAATTCTTTGTCGGGGGATAACCTTGTCCTGTGCATTGTAAAATGTTTTCATTTTCCTTACCTCTTTCTGTAGAGGCCAGTAGGCACCCCCCTGCCTCCAGTTGTAACAACCAGAAATACCTCCAGACTCTGCCAGATGTTTTCTCAGGGGTTAAAATCAATTGAGAACCAATGCTCTAAAGTATTGTTTATGAGTAGGATCTGCTTATGACAGTGTGATTAGTAACACTGAACTTTGGTTCTGATATATTTTTATTCACATAAATTATATTAGAGCATTAATAGGTAAGTGGGTAGTGGGAACATTGTGGAGATTTGAGAATAACTCGATTTTATTTTTGCAAATACATATACTCTAATGTATGAATATATTTGGGTGAATGACTCAATATGTGTGTGTGTGTGTGTGTATATATATATATATGTATGTGTGATATGTATCTTAAGGGACAGATGAATATGCTTGCTTAATGATAAAATTATCATTTTTAAATATCTTTTAAGAATATGGAATTGAAATTTCATTTGTTGTAAACTGATTTTACTGAGGAATTCTAACTTCATATATTGTTAATTTTAGCTACTACTCCATGGTTTGAGTCTTATAGAGAGACCTTTCTTCAGTCGATGCCAGCATCAGATCATGAATTTCTGAACCACTATTTAGCATGTATCCTTTACTTCAGTTCTCTTAAAATCAAATATTATGGAAGTTATTACTCTCAGAAATAATTGAATGAAGGCAAAATTATTGAAAGGCTATATGGAGTACAGAAATTATTATTATTTTTGGCAATACTGGGTACTGAACTCAGGGCCTGGAGCATGCTAGGCAGGCATTCTACTACTGAGGTGTATTCCCAGGCTGATAAATAGTAATTAGTATTAACATTTATAAAAATAATAATTATTATTTTTGGTACTGTGGCTTAAACCCAGGGATACTTTACCACTGAGCTACATCTCTAGTTCTTTAAAATTTTTTTGTAACAGAGTCTCCTAAGTTGCTGAGGGTCTTGCTAAATTGTTCAGCCTGGCCTTGAACTTGCAATCCTTCTGCCTCAACCTTCCAAGTCGCTAGGATTATAGGTGTGTATCACTGTGTCCAGTGAGAAATTATTTTTTATTGATGATATATCAAGTTTTTGTTATTGTTATTTTGTTAAATGGAATACTTGATGTATAATTGCTATAATAAATTAGTTTTTGATTTATTTTGATTATAAGACTTATATTGCTTATTATTTTTCTAACTTGAGTGTATCGTGCTTAATTAAATTTTTTAAAAATTTTAATTTGTTATATAAGACAATAGAATGCATTACAATTCATATTACACATATAGAGCACAATTTTTTATATCTCTGGTTTTACACAAAGTAGAGTCACATCCTCATGTCTTCATACATGTACTTAAGGTAATGATGACAATCGCATTCCATCATCTTTCCTACCCCTATGGCTCCTCCCTTCCTTTCCCGCCCATTTTCCCCTTTGCCCTGTCTAGAGTTCATTAATCCTCCCAACCCCCTCTATCTCCCCAGTGTATTATGAATCAGCATCCTTAAATCTGTGAAATCATTCAGGACTTGTTTTTTGGGGATTGGCTAATTTCACTTAGCATTATATTCTCCAGATCCATCCATTTACCTGCAAATGCCATGATTTCATTCTTTTATTGCTCAGTAACATTCCACTGTGTATATATACTACAATTTCTTTATCTTCATATACTGAAGGCCATCTAGGTTGGTTCCACAGTTTAGCTATTGTGAATTGTGCTGCTAAAAACATTGATGTGGCTGTGTCCCTGTAGTTTGCTGTTTTTAAGTCCTTTGGATATAGACCTAGGAGTGGGAGAGCTGGGTCAAATGGTGGTTCCATTCCAAGTTTTCCAAGGATTCTCCATACTGCTTTCCATGTTGGTGCACCATCAGTGTATGAGTGTGCCTTTTCCCCCACGTCCTCGCCAACACTTATTGTTGTTTATATTCATAATAGCTGCCATTTTGACTGGAGTGAGATGAAATCTTGGAGTATTTTTGATTTGCATTTCTCTAATTGCTAGAGATGTTGAACATGTTTTCATATATTTATTTATTGATTGTGTATCATATTCTGAGAAGTGTCTGTTCAGTTCCATGGCCCATTTATTGATCGCGATATTTGTTTTTGTCGTGTTAAGATTTTTGATTCTTGGGCTGGGGATGTGGCTCAAGCGGTAGCGCGCTCGCCTGGCATGCGTGCGGCCCAGGTTCGATCCTCAGCACCACATACCAACAAAGACGTTGTGTCCACCGAGAACTAAAAAATAAATATTAAAAATTCTCTCTCTCTCTCTCTCTCTCCTCTCTCACACTCTCTTAAAAAAAAAAAAGAAATTATCAAAAAAAAAAAAAAGATTTTTGATTCTTTATGTATTCTAGAGATTAGTGCTCTGACGTGCATGTGTAAGAATTTGTTCCCAATTAGTAGGCTCTCTGTTCACCTCACTGATTGTTTCTTTTGCTGAGAAGAAGCTTTTTAGTTTGAATCCATCTCATTTATGGAATCTTGATATTAATTCTTGTGCTATAGGATTCTTATTAAGGAAGTTGGGGCCTAATCCAACATGATGTAGATTTGGGCCTACTTTTTCTTCTAATAGATGCAGTATCTCTGGTTTAATTCCTAGGTCCTTGATCCACTTTGAGTGGATGAAATTCACTGAGGCAGAATGGAGATAAGCATGATGTACAAGAATCTGTCATTATGTTGATAGTTATATAATTTTGATATTGTGTATTTTAGGAATTTCCTATTGAACATGTAAATAACCTAAAAACTCTGAACAAAAAATCTTTAAGATTTAGAACTTTGAAGATTTGGAGAAATTATTTTGTGCTTGCAGTGAAAATCTATGAAATCATATTTTTTTCTGGTTGGGAAATATCTCCTTAAAGTTTATCTTAATAAGATGATCATATTCTGCAATAAGTGATAATTACCTTAATAATATGGTTTACAAGGTATGTTGGTAGCATCATCTAATGAAGTTGAACCTATGGAACAGTTTTCAAAATTGTCACAAGAACAGCATCGGATTCAGCACAACAATGATTATTCCTACCCTAAGTGGTTTATACCAAATACACTCAAATATTATGTACTTTTACATGATGTAAGTGCAGGAGATGAACAGAGGTAAGTTTTATTTTTAACTTTTTTTCTTACTTAATGATTTAACATTAATTTGGACATGGCTTGTTTAAGTTTTTGATTTTTTTTACATAAAAAGTAAAAATTTGTTGTAGTATAAATTTATTAATAATAGAATTAGTTTTATCTTTTTTCTGGAGTTACATCCAACAACTGAATCATTTAATGTAGCTTTCATATATTTACCCAAACTCTCTTCAATAGCTATCTCTTACATAGTCTTTGTGTATAAAACACTTGAGGTTCTATACCAGTAGACCTTAATTGTTATTTCTTATATTAGATAAAATTATTTCTCATTTCTTTTCCCTGTCCCAGTTTGCCTTTAACTTTTCACTGCCTGCTACTTATAGGCACCTCGGTTTTCACTGTTTCCTCTCTTGTCCAGCCTTGGTTTTCTTCACATTCTCAAAAACATCCAAACAGCCAGGTGTGGTGGCACACACCTGTAATCCCAGTGACTTGGGAGGCTGAGATAGGAGGATCACAAGTTCGAGGCCAGCCTCAGCAATTTAGTGAGACCCTCAATAACTTGTGGAGACTGTGTCTCAAAATAAAACATTAAAAGAACTGGGAATGTAGCTCATTGATAAAGTGCCTCTGGGTTCAGTCCTCAATACCAAAAAAACAAAACAACAACAACAACAAAAATTCAAGCATTTTTTTAATGTTTCCTTTAATATTCATTATTAGCGATTTGCAGTAATACTTCTACCTCTGGGATTCATGAATCGGTTGTATTAAAAAATTCTTGAAAAATAAATATTAAAAGCAGTTTATTTATTATTCTTTCATTTGTAGTTTATTTTGGTCTTTTTTCAAGGTGTGGATCAAATTAATCTGTTGTTTTATTATTCCAATGTAAGTGCTGTACCATTAAGCCATGTCCCCAGCCCCTGTTATTCTGATACCTCGGTACCATTTAGGATATCTAATTTTATAATAATTTCTTACCTGTGTCTGAGCACAAACCATTATTCATTGGGTGCTGGGTATTGAACCTAGCATCTTGGGTATGCTAAGCACATGTTTTACACTGGGCTACATCTTTGCCTCATTTTTAAAATAAATTAAAATAAGTTAAACTCCATAGAACCACAGAATTACTTTGAGGATTGTCTTTAGAATTTTTGGAAATGTCTGTAGCCTTATTGGATAAAGAATACTATTTAAATAGTAATAATTTGAACTATCTATTAAAATTAGTTTCTATGAGTTCTGTAGGGTTTATATCTTATGTATTAAATGGTGGTTATAAGGATATTTAAGTAGTAATTGAAGTAATTAGATCAGTGGTTTTATTTTTAGTGGTATCATTGGTACAGTGAACTGGAGTTTGATTTATTGAACTTGAGTATGTGTATACATATTTTTATATTTATATAATTTTTAATTAATTTTATTAATTTAGACTTTATAGAGTATGATATGATTTAGTTGTTTGCTCGGCTTGTTTTGTGTAATATCAGCATTTGCAGTTGAATAATTCAGGTTTTTTTTTTTTTTGGTTCCACTCCCAGGATAGCTGATTAACTAAAAAACACCCATTTTAACTGGTTTAGCCTTGTGGACTCAAAAGTTCATTTCCTATAGTTTGTATTATTTGCTTCTTAGGCCATTTTATAATTTGAATTAAATTATCTTACCTGAGAGAGCAACCTAGTACACTAGTATATTTAGTTTTTTTAAGGTATGTAATCAGAATTTATTTTGTCACATCTGAGAAACAGCTCATGGATTCATCTACTATAAATTTTGTAAGAAAAATAGGTGGATTTTATGTAATAAATGCCTTGTTTTCTTCTACTTCTTCTGAACTGTGTCCTGTTTTGTAAGATTTTGGAGGTTGATCCCCTGCCCTCGCTACTGCCTCTGCTGGATTGAACCCGGGCAGTTCACTTCTGAACTCCATCCCCAATCCTTTTAATTCTTTATTTTGAGGTAGGATCTTACTAAATTGCTGAGGTTGGCCTCAAATTTGTGATTCTCCTCATTTAGCCTCCCTTAAGTAGTGGAGATTATAGGCATGTGCCACTGTGCCCAGCTAATTTTCTATGTTAGCACTTTGGTTTCTTGAAAAATGTTCTCTAGGAATTCCTTCAGGTTCTATTCCCTGAAGACTAGTCCCCTCATTGAGAGGAAGCACTGCTGGTTTATGAGTTTAAGCTGGGTTGGTAAATAATAGTGTGTATTATCTCATAGAAAGCTCAGAGGTGAATTCCTGTAAGGAAATTCTGTTTTTTTTTTTTTTTTTAGTTTCCCCAAACTAGTTTGATCACCTAGATTTTCTTTTGAGTAATAGGAATGTTTCTTTTGAATAACAGATTTTTTTACTCCATGGAACCGACTTTGGTAACTCCACTTTACTATTTAATCCTAATTTTGTTTTGCCTTTTTTTGAGTATTATTTTTATATTAAGATCTTTTATCTAAAGTCTGCTCCCCAATTACTATGATGCTTTTTCTTTTTTCTTAAATTTTTTCTTTTTTTTAAAATTTCAGAGCTGAATCAATTTATGAAGAAATGAAACAGAAATATGGAACTCAGGGTTGCTATTTGCTTAAAATTAATTCTCGAACGTCAAATCGAGCATCAGATGAACAGATACCAGATCCTTGGAGTCAGTATCTCCAGAAAAGTAGTATTCAAAACCAGGTATATGTAAAACAACAACAACAACAACAATAATAATGAAGCAAACCACAAAAGTTGTATTTCAGTTTTATGACATAATAGTATAAATGTAGGATTTTTTATGTTTTTTTTTTTTAAACTGGTACAGTTACTAATATTTATTTCGTGGAATCTGGCTATCTGCTGTGAGCTTTTAAATCAGATTTAAAAGCTGTTTTTAACCAACTGCTACTCTTCTCAGGTGTATAATAGTGTTAATTGCTCTTTTTTCTTAAAAGATTAAAAATGAATTACACAATGAAAACTGAATTAGTTTGGCTAGACATGAATATAATAGAATTTTTTACTTGTCCATTAAATTTATTGTAAATGCTCACAGTTATTATCCACATGCTCTGGGGTTGCTGTCTACATTTTAAAAAATGATGTTCTTTTGGATTTTGGAGCTCATGCCTTTTATTTGGGTGAGCTTTTCCTTCTAAGCTTTCCTTTGGTTTCATTTTCTTCTGAAATTTTAGGAAGTGTTATTTTTCTTCCCTCACTCCTTTCTTAATCTATAGTCCTGGACTTAATTAATTTGTCTTTTGACCAAAGTGGGTAGGAGTAAGGTTTTAAGTGTTTTCAAACATCTAAGTTTATAGTTGTATGCCCTTGGTAATAGAGAAATGCAAGTTCCTTTGCTTAGGTAGATAATCAAAAATTATATTTTTGTTTAGAAGGAAAATAAGCTGTATTTTGTGCTCTTTATGTGACATTATTTTAAAGACATCAATTATAAAATGAAGTATTGATCTTCTAATTGAATATTGTTTAAAGATTTATTTGTTTATATAATATGAAATTTTTAGTCTAGACATTGTGCTATTCCAATATTTTACTCATTTAAATATTGAAATGATTGCTAACCTTCTTTGAGATATGTTGGGGAAAATTCTTTAGGCAAAAAAGAACCAGTTGTATGTTAACAAGATCTGAGTTTTAAAAATAGCCTTTCAGGGCCATCCTCAGAATAGAAACAATACTGAAAGTTTTGATTTAGAGTTTAGCCATGTAAAGGGAAATGTAAATCAAGTTGTCCTGTTTGAGAACTTTTAATGGAAGACAGAGGTATCAATCTCCGATCCATGTTATAATTTCCTTTAAATCTATGAAGTACTGATAGCACTTGCTATCTCCTTAAGTAACCAGTTGTATTTCAGAACAGCTTGAAGTTGAGGGTCAACCTAACATTTTCACTGTTTGTTCACATTGGTCCTTTTGTGGGGGGCATATCAGTTTTTCATTGTCAGCTTTCAAAATGTAGAAGGATAGCTCTCTGTCCCCTTTTATATTTTTCTAGACTAACTATACCCAGTTTTTTGGTCTTTCTCAAGAGGTTGTTTCCGATAGTTTCCTTAAGAAATTATAGTTTACATATTTTCCTCAAAGTGTGGCACTCAGAATAATTTCATATTTACTGTTCTCATGGAGTAGCTTGTATTTTAATTTTTCTTTGTTGACTGAGAAAGCAGTGCCTTTGTACCAGTGAACTTTGTACCAGTGTACTTTGCATTTGATATTTTTTCAAAACACTTGAATATATTCATAATCCACTCAAACATGCTAGCACTGTGAACATGACTTAGGAGATTTTATACTCCTTTGTCTTTTTGCCCCCTGACTCTAGTAGTCCATTCCTTGCCATCATTCCTTTAGATTCATAGACATTCGTATATACCTATATAAATATCTGTGTATATTCATATATATATATATATATATATATATATATATATATATCTCACATGTAAATAAATTGAGATAGAAGTCATTTAAATTCAGAAGAATTGGACTAGTAAATTGAGTTGTGAAGAATTTAAAACTTTATCAGAAATGCCTTTATGGCTATCACATCCTAACTACCTTTAAAATTCTGCTCATCAGATATTCCAAGAAACCTCCTCTCACCACTTGCTTGTTCATAATCTCCTTATAGGGGGTTAATTCTAATAGTACTGTGTATTCAGAATACTTTTTATCTCCACCATCCACCCCCACCCCATCCTGGACTGTTACTTAATTCTTAATTAAGGAGTTAAGTGGATTGAAGTGTTAGAATAAAATACATAAGGCTGGGTATGGTGGTACATGCCTGTAATCACAGCTACTTGAGGGGATCACAAGTTCAAGGCCAGCCTGGGCAACTGTTTCAAAATAAAATAAAAATAGAGTTGAGGAATGTAGCTCAGTGGTAGGATAGTTGTCCAGCTTGATTGAGGTCCTGGGATCAATTCCCAGTCCTGCAAAAACAAACAAACAACAACAACAAAAGAACATGGAAGAAGGTAGAAATTTAGAGGACTAGAAGAAAAGACTATCATTAGCAAATAGATGAAGCCAGTGGTTACCAGAGTAATCATACTTGTTGATGGATTTGGTGGTATATTAAACATGATAAAATGATTGTTAATGCTGTTTTATTTTTTTTTGCTAGGAATCATATGAAGATGGCCCTTGTACTATAACTTCAAATAAGAATTCTGATAGTAACTTGCTTTCATTGGATGGATTAGATAACGAAGTCAAAGGTCTTGATATACTTTCTCTGAGTTCTCTTTTGATAGAAAACATATTGTTGTCAAAGCATGCTAACCTTTATAGATAAAAGATGGGGAAATTTTTGTAAAATAAAAAGATAATGAGCAGGTTAGCTTTTCTTCTGAAGTGTTTATTGAATCCTTTGAGTTTGATTTTTGACCTTTAAAGTTTGTTTTATAAGAATAATATATCAGTTTTTTAAAAAAAAATATTCGAGGAAAGCAAGCGAAGATGTGATGTACGATATTAATTATTTCCCCAATTTAAATGATTTTGAGAGCTGTATTTCTATATTTTTAATTACAGTTTTGGTAATAATAGCTCTAAATATTTTTTGTTGTAATTTTTCTTATGGCTTAGTTGTGATATTTTAAAATAATTCTTTATATTAATTTAAAACTATTTTTCTTTATTTCCCAGTTTACCTGAATTCTTAAATTTCTATTACATGTAGCAAGTATAAGCTCAAACCCTTTAAATGTAGGGGTGAAAATGTTAACGATTAACGATTAAATGTTAATCTTAGACGTCTAAGGTGTATGGAGAGATTGTAGGGTTCCATTTTTCTGTTTTTTTTTTTTAAATTTAGCAGAGTGGGGTATTAGTTTTCCCATTTTCTCTTGCATTCTGAGAGTAAAAGAAAGATTTTTTTTTTTTCAGTAGATGGCTTACCAAATAACTTTAGAGCTCACCCACTTCAATTGGACCAATCCAGTGACCCTTCTAACAGCATTGATGGCCCAGATCATGTAAAATCTGCTTCATCATTACATGAAACAAAGAAAGCAAATACTGGAATAATTCATGGTGCATGTTTAACACTTACCGATCATGATAGAATTCGACAATTTATACAAGAGTTTACATTTCGGGGCCTTTTGCCACATATAGAGAAAACAATTCGGCAATTAAATGATCAGGTAACACTTACCTTTTTGGATTTTATTTTTCAAATTTAAGTAAATACTAAAGAATGTAATATAAATTATTTAAAGAATTTTAAGATTTTTGTTTTGCAGTAGGCCATTGTTAGGACTTACTGAAATTACTATCAGTGATGAAACTCTATTCAGTCCTAGAAGAAACTTATTCATTCTCAGTTTTTTACCAGCATATTAGTTTGTGTGTGTGGTCTGAGAACTGAACCCAGGGCCTCATTTGTGCTAGGCAAATACTCTACCACTGAGCTACATTCCTAGCTCTTTTGGTAGTTTTTAAAGAAAAAAATCAGTGTTATTATAATCATTATTTACCTACTACTAAAGCTTTTTAAAGGTTATTTAAAAATTTTTTTGTATGTAAACAAAAAATATTAAATCCTTCTTATTTGTCAACATATTTAATCTTTTTTCTTAGCTAATATCAAGAAAAGGTTTGAGTCGATCTCTATTTTCTGCAACTAAAAAATGGTTTAGTGGCAGTAAAGTTCCAGAAAAGAGCATTAATGAGCTGAAAAATACATCTGGGTTGCTGTGAGTAAAAAATTGCTGTTTTAATCTTTCCTGTTTTTTGTTTTAACTTTGTCTAGTGTTTGATTATGTGTTGTCATGCAAACAATAACTACCTTCATAGTTTCTTAGTTTCACAGTGTCAAACATTCAGGTAGATAAGAGCAGTGACTGTAAGTAAGTTATTTAATTTTAAAAAATATGTAATTTAGACATCTAAAAATAAACTCTAAAGATAACTGGGAAAGTCACTTTGTTTTGAGACTGTTTCCATGAAGATGGAATTAGATTAGATATTCGTTAATAACCCTTTTGTATCTTAAAGGTTATAGTGTATGATTCTAACACATGGCACATATTTAGCAAATTTTGTTTTATAAAAAATCTTGTTTTAAGGGAGAATAAAATTAATCCATTTGGATTTTAATTATTTTTCCTGATGTAATTCCTGGAATTAACCATTTTATTCACTTCATAACTTTATCATGGAGAAAATACTTGCTTGCTGTTAAGAAGTTCCCACAGTTATAAATTAAATAAAGTAACTTTTTGTTTCCAAATAGTTCTGAAACTTGACACTCTTCTTGGGGGAAGAATTCTTGTTAAAGAGAATCAGTTTTCTTCATATTCTGGATACTGGAATAGCTTGTTATACATTTTATATTTAATGGAGTTGAGCGTAATAAATTATATATGTGTGTGTGTGTGTGTGTGTATATATATATATATATGTGTGTGTATATATATATATATATTTTTTTTTTTTTTAACTTATTGTATATACAGGTATCCACCTGAAGCACCAGAACTTCAAATCAGGAAAATGGCTGACTTATGTTTTTTGGTGCAACATTATGATTTGGCTTACAGTTGCTATCATACTGCAAAGAAGGATTTTCTTAATGATCAAGCAATGCTTTATGCAGCTGGTGCCTTGGTTGGTATTTATTTTTTTATTTTTGCTTTGTGGGGAATTTAACCCAGGGCCTCATACATGTTAGACAAGTGCTTCACCACTGAGCTACATCACCAGCTCTTGTTTGCATTTTAAGAAAATAAAAACTAAATGTCTATATTCTGATGTATACAGACTTCCTCTCCAGAGAAGTACACCTCTAGCCTTGCATAGCATTGGGCTCAGTGCAGACTACACTTTTTCCCATGTTCACCCTACATAGTAGTTTTGCCTGTTAGGAGGTGCTTTTCTTTGTCTCCATCTCTGCCAGGATTTACATGTTGGTATTTTTTATATTCCCTAAGATAACCTCCAGTCATGCTAAGCTGCCTTTCTAGATTATGTAGGTCACCGTCCAACGTGCCATTAAATAATTTTGCTAGTGCTTTGATTACACAGATGAATAGGCCTCAGAAGGACTGTCCTAACCATATTTTTCTGAGGTTTATTACTCTTAGGGCAGCTTGTACAACCTCAGTTATTTTCAGGTATGCATATATCATGTTATAGTAGACATGCCTTTATTTTTTACTACTAATCTATTTCTTTCATATAGCTTTTATCTCTATTTAAATAGCTTAGAGGTAATATTTATCAGATAATAGATAAAATTGGAAAAAAGATGCAGTCATACGTTGCACAACAAGGTTTAAGTGGACTATGTTGGTGTCATATAAGCATATTGCTTTAAAAAATTATACCACCTAGTAATATTGTAAACCCATTATGCTGCCCATACTACAAGGAAACATGTGAGTGCAATTTCTCAAAACGTATCCTTGCCATTAAATGATTCATGACTATATTGTCTTTGTATAATTCCATCATTGGTCTGTTCTGTGCTCTTGGAAAAACTGGGAGGAGGTGTACCTGAAATCTTAAGCTAAATTCACTTGATGTTTTATTTACACCAAAAACCAAAGTTAACTAGGTCTTCTTGGAAATCTCAGTTAAATATTTAATTAATGACTTGAATTTGGAGAATTTTAACATGAAAGCATATAAATATATTTTTTGAGTCTGCTTTAAGCTATGCAATTTATTTATATGTACAATAAGAAATTCTAACAAATTTCATTGTAATTTTTGAGCTTCCTGAATGCTAAATTATAAGATTTTTTCTCCTTTTGAAATAGTATACATTTTGTCTTTTCCCTTAGGAAATGGCAGCAGTGTCAGCTTTTCTCCAACCAGGAGCACCCAGGCCATACCCTGCTCATTACATGGATACAGCAATTCAAACATATAGGGATATTTGCAAGTAGGTGACTATAATATTTATATTTTGCCCATTTAGAGGTACATTTAACAGTTTTTTAAAAAATTATATTTTGACATTTATATTTTTAATTATAAATAGTTCTTTTTGTTTTTCATGCTTTAGACTCTCAAGTTAATATAGTGAGACAAATTGAGGTGAAAAAAATTAATATTTTATTACTACATCTTTCCTATTTGGTTTTGATTAGGAATGTTTAGCTTATGTTATATTGAGGGTGCATTATATTGTAGGAACATTTCTGAACATATCTACTATTAAGCCAGGAATTAGCTATTTTGAATTTTCCTTATTAATTAAGAGTTACGTAACAGTCCAGGGTAGGGTAGAGGTGGGTGGTAGAGATGAAAAGTATTTTGAATGCACAGTACTATTAAAAGTATTTTGAATACACAGTATTATTAGAAGGAGATTATGAACAAGCCCAAAAATGGTGAGAGGAGGTTTCTTGGGATATTTGATGAGTAGAATTTGAAAGAAAGGTAGTTGGGATGTGATAGCCATAAAGGCATGTCTGGAATTGTGATTTTTAGAAATAATGTTGTGGTTGCATCATTATTAGTGAAAGGATATAGAGCTCTTTCTAGGTCAAAGCAATTATATATTTGGAAAGTGTTGACTGATAAATTTGGAAAAAGGGTTTGATATAAATTAGTGTGAGGAGGGTTTATCATTTATTATGATTATTCTTAAGCTGTAATTAAGATGTATATAGTAGTAAATGGGAGATTATTGAGTAGAGCCTTGACATTATAAAAGTTATTTTTCAGAATGATCAATCTGAGATTTTTGTTTCCTTGTAGTGCTGGGGATCAAACCCAGGGCCTTGCTTGCTCATTTTAGGCAAACATTCTACAACTGAGCTACACCCCAGCTCCTTTATTTTTCTATTGTAGAATGGATGCATTGGGGAAGAGAGAGATACGAAAGCCATTTTGAGTCCTATTAATGTTTATCAAGTAGAAGTAGTAATTGTAATAGCAATATGTGTACAATATATCAACATTCCTATTTTTTAAAAGTTAATGTTTAATTGAGTGTTTGGTACCTCAACTCACTATGTCCAAGTAATTTACACTTCATTTAATCATTAAAACAAACCTATAACATGGTAGGTGGTGTTATTTCTGCTTTATAAATAAGGAAATGGAAACTTCAAAAATTTAATTTACCCAAGGGTATAAAGCTAATAAGTGGTAGAACCACTATCAAATCCTACCTTTTATACATTATAATCTATTCAATAACATATTTATAGATTTTAGCAGAAGATATTGTAGCCCTGTGAAAAAGGAACTACTAAAGGGGATTGAGAGGAGAGATTCTAAAGGCAGAACTAGTACAGTGAACTACCAGAGAAACCAGAATAGTGAAAGTTTCAAGACGTTTGAATATTTGTTCTCTGAATAGATCTTCCTTGTCTTTATGAAGTATAGAACTTGTGGAGATATGCATGTAGAATGCTGCAAAAGAAAAGACTGTGTAATGACCTAGATAAATGTTGGCAGTCCTTTCCACAACAGACTATATGTGTTTCTGAATCCCTATTTATTGTTATGCATTATTTACCTTATAATCCTCATTCTAAATTGTCATAATTGATAAGATTTGTCAGCAGTTTAGTAGTTGGGATAAATTAGAAACATTGTATCAATTACATGTAGCAATTTTAAGAAGCTCCCTGATCTTGGAAATATTAAAATGTAAATAAATTTTCTTCAAATACAGTCAGCACAATATTTAGTATTGTAATGCCCTCTTAGAATTCTGTGTTCCACTTTTGAATTGATGAGATTCTATTTCTCTTATAAGATTTTTCTTGAATTTTTTCTTTTGGCTACTGGGGATTAAACCCAGGGTAAAAGCATGTGTTGGTGCACACCTATAATCCCAGTGTTTTGGGATGTTGAGGCAGGAGGATCGCTAGTTCAAAGCCAGCCTCAGCAACAGCAAGGTGCTAAGCAACTAAAACCCTGTCTCTAAATAAAATACAAAATAGGGCTGGGGACATGGGCTCAGTGGTCGAGTTCCCCTAGTTCAATCCTCAGTACCTTCCTCCCCCAAAAAAGGCATGTGCTGTATTACTGAGGTATACCCCCCACCCTTAATTTTTTTTTTCTTTCATGAAGCCATCCTTCTCTCTCCTCAAAACACAATATAAATCAGTTATTGACTGTTTATTCTCTTTTGTATCAGTTTCTACTTTTAATATAGAATTGTGTCCTAGAAATATTTGAATTCTCAGCACTTCACTCTGCTGATACAATGTTTTGTTTTGCTTTTTTTTTGTGTGTGCAAATTTTAAAAAATTGCTTGAATTGACAGATTATTTTAATAAAGTCCTGGACTTGTAGCCATTGGCAAAATGGGTAAGGAATAAAACATAAATAAAAATTATAGTGTTAAGACCCGAGAGATTTTATAAAATTTATTTAAGAAAACTAAGTATTATATATGAGCAATACTGGTAAATAGAAATTAAGTCTTTTTTACTCATTAATAATCTTAGGTATTTATAAATTCTAACCCTATATATAAAAAATTATGTTTTGTAGAAAGTTTATGACAAATCACCACAAATAATTTGAGACTAGTAAATTTTATTCTAAAAATATTGTTCACAGTGGCATTCCATAGTGGGTTTGAGTTAATAAGCTTTGGTTGTTATTTTAAAGTCAAGTAAAATTCTGATATAAGGAATAGAAGTTAAAAGAAAAATTTTTTGCTGTTATTTTCCAAAGAAGGACTCAATCTTGTCATTTCACAGAAAAAATGTTTTCATTTAGTTTATTGTTTTTGAAAATGAATAATCTAATTCTAGACTTCTGATATAGAAGTCCACAAAGAAAAACCAACTGATTAGGTATTTTTACCAAAAAAAAAAAAAAAAGAAAAAAAAAAGTTTGACTCGGATCACTCAGGCAACTCTGGTCCTTCGCGGTCTCCAGTTTAAACACATTTCAGTGGTACTACCATAGGGAAAATGTCTAAATAGTCCTATAAGTAGCCAGTAACTAGAGTTTGCAGTGAGAACCAAAAAAAAAACCAAAAACAACAACAACAAAAAATATTGTCGACATGTTTATATTCTTTTGTGTTCAAATCAGTTTTTGTTAACTGGCCATTTGTTCATAGTTACCAAGTAAATTCTAGCTTTTTTACATACAGGAATGGTAATTTTGCATTGTATTCTTACTACAAAAATTTGTGATTAATAAAAGTTAGATGAGTTATGGGAATTCTGTATTTTTTTAATACTTTTTTAATACGTGGGTAATAAGGATGTAGACTGTTTTTACTCATAGTCTGTAATTGTAATCTTTTGCTGAATATATGTTAACTTTGATGTGCTAAGGTATTGTTATTGCTGATATTATTTTTCTCATTTATTTTTCTTTAGGAATATGGTATTGGCTGAAAGATGTGTATTGCTTAGTGCCGAAATTCTAAAAAGCCAAAGCAAATATTCAGAAGCTGCAGCTCTCCTAATACGGTTGACTAGTGAGGTACTGAAACTGTGTAACATTTGATTTAATATACATTATTTTGTAAGCATGTATCTTTTTTCATGAGAAGGTGTACAAAACATAAAATTAGGAGCAGCACATCTTTGGGAGTTATAACATAGTTTTTTAAGTTATTTGTTGAATTAATTTTAAGTATAATTTTTATAAATTGAATTTATTTTATTTAGACATTTTAACTCCACACTGTATTATTATTAACCACAAATATGTATTGGGCATCTCCTATGACTTAGGTTCTATCTTATATGTAATGGTTTTTAAAACAACATGTATGTGCATCATTGCTCAACTTTAAAACAATAGCCACTGAAGAATTTTCAATCTTGTTTACAATTAGTATGAATTTTTTTTTGGTACTGGGTATTGAACCCAGGGGCATTTCACTACGGAACCACATTCCCAGGCCTTTTTATTTTTTATTTTGAAACAGGGTCTCACTGAGTTGCTTAGGGCCTCACTAAGTTGCCGAGGCTGGCTTGGAACTTGTGATCCTCCTACCTCAGCCTCTTGAATCGCTGGGATTATAGGCATGTGCCACCGCACCCGGCTAGTATGAACTTTTAAAGAAAATCATCTTAATTGTTTAAAAAATTTTATTATGAATATTTCAAAACTGAGAAATGTAACCCATTTATAGTTGCTATTGAAGGTTATACAATAGAATTATTGAGTTGCTTTTACCATAGATGTGTAAAGAACGGTAGTATTCTTTCGTAGGTATGGTTAAAGACATTTTGTAGAATACTCAAGAACAAAGGAACATAATCAAATATGTATTTTACCCTTTAAATTATCACTGTTCTGTTTTCACTGTATACAGTTTTAGGACAGTCTTGTTCACAGTTGTGATTTTCATGCTCAACCTATTCCAAATCCTGACTTCTTGAATTTTAGATTAGTTTGGCCACTTTAAAAATGACATATCTACTTAAATGTTTTCAAGACATCTTAAGTTAAAATATCAAGAAATTCAAATTTTTTGTGTGTGTGTGTGTTTTTTTTTTTTTTTAAAGAGAGAGTGAGAGAGGAGAGAGAGAGAGAGAGAGAGAGAGAATTTTTAATATTTATTTTTTAGTTCTCGGCAGACACAACATCTTTGTTGGTATGTGGTGCTGCACGCATGCCAGGCGAGCGCGCTACCGCTTGAGCCACATCCCCAGCCCGTGTGTGTGTGTTTTGATGCAGAACTGGGAACAGAACCCAGGGCCTCATGTAGGCTTGCAGTCTAGGTCAATACTTTACCAGTGAACTATCATCTCAGCCCTAAGTTTGAAATTTCATATCTGATGTTATCACCAACAAACTCTGTTAGTTCTAGCAGAAACTGCTTGAAGTACTCCTGTATTCATGCTTCCTGTTAGTAACAGGAAGTGTGTGTGTGGGGGGTGTTTCATTTTCTTAAATATATTTTTGATTTTATCTCAAAATGGTTTACTAATCTCCTACTCCCCCAAGTCCTAGTTCTCATCCTTAATATCTTTTATCTGGACTAGGACTTTTTTCCTTTTGCTTTACTAAATTTACTTGTTCTTCATTAGTCCTTTATTAGTCATGTCTTTCAGATAGTCTTTCCCACTACCGTAGGTCTCCTTTCTGCTCTCTCACATAGTGCTGTAAATCTTGACTTGTTCTGTTGTATTATATTGGAAGTTATATCTAAGATGTTAGCTGCTTGACTGCAAGGAATTGGTCTGCCCTGTATATTTTTATCCCTGGTAACTAACACTTGTCTTGGCACATGGTGCTCTACAAATGTTTGTTGACCTGAATTAGTAAGTCCTTTCTAAGAAGAGGGGTTTGAATGTGTTGCTGTGTTTTTCACACTAGGGATATCAGTGAATATAAAAATTAATGGTCCAGGAGCTTGAATAGAATTTTTTTTTTTAAAGAGAGAGAGACAGAGAGAATTTCAATATTTATTTTTTAGTTATTGGCAGACACAACATCCTTGTTTGTATGTGGTGCTGCACGCATGCCAGGCGAGCGTGCAACCGCTTGAGCCACATCCCCAGCCCGAATATTTTTTTTTCTTGCTTAAATGTTTTTAATTGCCTTTCTACCTGCATATGTAAATAAAATTTCTTTTTTGGATACCGGGGGTTGAACTCAGGGGTACTTGACCACTGAGCCATGCCCCCAGTCCTTTTTTGTATTTTATTTAGAGACATGTCTTACTGAGTTGCTTATTAGTGCCTCTCCATTGCTGAAGCTGGCTTTGAACTCACGATTGATTCTCCTGTCTCAGCCTCTTGAGCCACTGGGATTATAGGCGTGCTCCACTGTGCCCTGCTAAATAAAATTTCTTTAGAGTAAATTCTTCTGCCTGCATTTTAGCCTTGTTATTTTCTGTTGTTCTTTTCAACTCTTTGTTTTCAATTTTTTTTCTCAAATCCATTTGATTTATTTTGTCATGAAAGTCTAGAAAATGTATCACTGTCATTTATTGCTGTAGGGTAGTAGGTAGGAGCAGGTACTTTGATGCATTTTGCCAGAAGTTGTGATTTACAGTGGCTTGTTCTGCTATAGTTCTCATATTTTCTTGTGACAAAAATAAAGATTACTAGGCATAATGTGTATAAAATTAATATTAAATCTTAACTAGTAATTTATGTAATGGCACACTTTGCTGTGTGTATTTTATTAACTAGAAAGGCTATATTATATCTTGAAAAACATACTTGTCTCAAGAATAGAGAATATAATCATATACTGTCGATATAATTGAATTGCGTTCCCTAAATTTTTGCCAGTACCAAATGACAGTTATAAGACTGGGTGAAAAAGTTGTGCTTTGAGTTGATTTTTTTAGAACTGCAAATTTATGGACAGATTATTGTTTTATGCTTTGGGATTCTCAGAATGGCAGTGCACAGCCTAGTCTAATGGGGAAAAATATATCACGTTTACCACCATGTAGCATAATATATCCAAATTTGGTATTTTGAGACATCCCTACTATCTGTCACTACATTTAAATATCTTACTTTTTTTGTGTGTGTGTGGCACTGGGAATTGAACCCAAGGCTTCACATGTGCCAGGGAAGTGCTTACTACTGAACTATATATTCCGAACTACATTTAAATATGATAAATCAGTTTTAGACATAGTAATGAAAGTGTTTTAGGGGGGGTGCCGAGGATTGAACTCAAGGGTGCTTGGCCACTGAGTCACATTCCCAGCCCTATTTTGTATTTTATTTAGAGCTGGGTCTGAGTTGCTTAGCACCTCACCATTGCTGAGGCTGGCTTTGAACTAGTGATTCTCCTATCTCAGGGTCAGGAGACATAGGATTACAGGCATGTGCTACCATGCCTGGCAGAAGTTTTTTTAAAATAAGTTTTTTTCATCTTGGAAGCATCTGTTCCTGTTGGAAATGGATCAGCTGATAGTACCTTCCCTAGTAACTTCACAATTATGTGAAGAAAAAAAATCTTAAAATATTAGATCCATTATTTGTTTGAAATTTGATTCTATGCAGTAGCTGCAACAGATGCCTTTATCAACTTTTTTTAAAATATATTTTTTAGTTGTAGTTGGACACAATACCTTTATTTTTTATTTGTTTTTATTTTTATGTGGTGCTGAGGATTGAACCCCAGTGCCCTTGCACGTGCTAGGTGAGCCCTCTACTACTGAGCCACAGCTTTAGCCCTCAACTGGTTTTATGGAAATATTTATTGAGGTCTTTTTTTTTAGTCTCTTTTAAAGTTGCTATAATAATGCCATAGACTAGGTAATTTATAAACAGTATGAGTTTATTTGGCTTATCGTTCTGGAAAAAGTGAAGTTCATGGCACTGGTATCTGGTGAGGGTCTTCCTGCTGCCTCATCCCAAGGTGAAAAGCAGAAAGGCAAGGGAGTATGGGAGCAAGAGGAAAAGAGAGGGCTGAATTTACTTTTATGACAAATCTAATTTCCCAGTCACCCATACCTGTGATAATAACATTAATTCATTTATAAGGCCTCTTGTGGCTGAATGACCATTTATTAGGTTCCACATCATATCACTATTGTAGCAAGTATTACATTTTCAACATGTGAACTTAAGGAGATGGGGGATACATTCCAACTATAATAAAGTCTATGCTTCAGATTTTTTTTTCAATGCATATCCTCATATTTTAAGTTACCGTTGCCTTTTCAGATTTTGTTAAAATTATCTCTTGACTGTGGCAAAAATTTTCCTATGCTGAAATTCTTGCCAAAATGATATCACAGGTTTCTTTTTCTTAGTTCCTCACTTTGCACATATGCTAGTCTTACAGATATGAACTATTTTAAAACTTTATTTTTCAATTCATTCAAAGCCTCCACTTTCTAGATAAAATCATCCTTTGTAAATATCCTTTGATTTCTCATCCATCAATATCAACAACAGACTTTTTTTAGGCCCATTTTATCTTTTCAGAACAATGTTTTTACTATTTTGGGTGTCACTATAAGAGAAGCTAATGAAGACTAGAGCTAAAGTGAGATATGAAAGTAGAGTATTCAGCATTGCAAACTGATTCTTTCTCAGTCAATAGTCTGTTGTATGTAAGAGTCAAAATTTTGTTTCAGCTAAATTAATATCTGATGTGAACTTGCAGGTCTCTCTTGAATTGGTTAGTTTTTGAGTGTTAAATTTGAGAATTCTTGGGTTTATTATTGCTAGTTCTCAACTGGATTATATATTAGAATCATCTAAAAACCATCACGGACACCCAGGGCATATTCCTTATTTATTTATAATGAACAGGATTCTTGTCTGTCCTACTTTTGCAGTTTAATGAGGCTTTATAGGAAATTAAAAATAGGTATATATATTTATACTTTCTGTGCACATATTCATATGTTAAGAATAAACATATAGAATTTAAAGAAAAACTGTGAAACTGTTGAAACCTAAACAAAGTTCTGAAATAAAAATGTTAATTAGAGGGAATTACATCTTCTAGATATTAGAATGTATTAATGAGGCTACAGAAGTTAAAACTGTTTCCATTTGATAGGAACAAGACACATTAGTGGTATAGGATTGGAATTTCATACTGCATATGATATCATTTAAAAATCAGTGGAGAAAGCTAGGTTATTTATAAATGGTATTGTGACATCAGACAAACTATTTTGGTTGGATTCCTATTTGTTTTTTATATGATAAAATATAAAAAAGAAACCAGTATAATACAGAAGATACACAACATACACACATGTTATTTATCTTGAAGAAAATACTAAGAGAACATTTTTAAAAATCTGGTAGTGATAATATCCTTTTTTAGTTTGATGCAATATCTTGAAACTATAAAAGCAGAAATAGTGCACTTTACTACAAAAGAGTAAACTCTTTCATGTTAAAACTGGAAAATAATATTTGTAAAATGTATGATAAAAGACTAAAATTGACTAAATATCCAAAGGGCTGTGACAAATATGAAAATCCATTTACAAAAAGATATTAACAGGCAATGCACAGGAAAAATACCAAGGCTCCCTAAATGTATAAAATGATTAATAGCCTTACTATTACAGGAATATATATTAAGGAGCAGAGGTGTCATTTTTCTTTTATTAGACAAAAATTTTTAGAAAGAGATTTTGACTTAGTGAAGTGAAAATGTGAACTCTTGTTGATGAGAGTATATAATGGTACACTTTTTTTGATAGCAGTTTGGCTGCATTGGTCCAAATTTGGAATATATGCATGGCTTTCATTAACTTAGTGGTTCTACTTCCAGAAATCGATCTAGTAAAAATGTTTGAATAATTAATCAAAATGTTTTTATAAAGATACTTATTATTTTTTAGTAACAAAATGAAATAATAATTGGGGCTATATTAAGTTTTGGCACATTTATATAATAGAATACAGTGTAGATTTAAAAGACATGAAAGATGTAGATGTTTTGGAAAGATGATATTAAGTGAATGAACCTAAATATGTATTAAAAATGTGTAGTTTTAAAAAATATATATATTAGGCATATACATATACATATACATATATGGAGAAAGATACACACACACTAAAGCTATGAATAGTTGTTATCTCTGGCAAATGAGATAAAGCATGGGATGGGAAAGAAAGACGTTCACTGTTTTCTTTAAACATTCTTTAGCCGGGCATGGTGGTGCTCGCCTGTAATCCCAGCTACTTGGGAGGCTGAGGCAGGAGGATCACAAGTTCAAGGCCAGCCTCAGCAACTTAGTGAGGCCTTAAGCAACTTAGCAAGGCCTTAAGCAACTTAGTGAGACCCTGTCTCAAAATAAAAATAAATAAACAGATAGATAAATAAATAAATAAAAGGACTGGGCATATGGCTCAGTGGTTAAGTGCCACTGGGTTAAATCCCCAGTAGCACCCTCACCCCCCCACAAAAAATCTTTGAAAAAATATATTTTAATTCTTTTAAAGTAATGATTTTCCTTAAAGTAAAATTTATTCCCAAGATACCCCAAGTCATTCTGATGCAATTTTTTTGTTAAGAATCATTCCTGATTAAGAATCAATTCCTTATTTTTCTACTTAATAGATGGATATTAATTTCTTAGAGAAATCATCTGATTGTTTAGTTTTTTTGATGAGAGGTAATAAGTAATAATAGCTGCCAGTTATTGAATACAATCTAGGTAGATTCCTCAAATGTGATTAAACTCTAATATTTTAGGATTGCTACAGAGCTAGTTTATAATAATGATCTGTGAACACTTTTTGATGTAACTATAATTTGTTTAAATTATTGCATTTAAAGTCAATGTTTTCTGTTTTCAACTTTCCCTGGGGAAAATAATGGCAGCAGAGCACATGGAAGGGCATGGTAAGTTCAGCTTGAGAATAGCTGAAAACCTAGAGAAAGTTTCGGTGAAAACGTTGTTGATACTGAATCAGCAACCTTCAGCACTTTCTCAGTTCTTTATAAAGTGATGACTTATTTAAAAGGTTGTTTTTATATAGTGATTATGTTAATATAGTGTGCAGTTTTTGTAGTCATTGTGTTTGTAAGGGTCAGTTGAAGCAGAAACTGATTTGAGTTGTACTATTTGCTAATGTATGATTGGTAGGTGAAGAGAGACTATTTGAAGATCTTCATGACTTTTTAATGAAAAGCAGTCATTTAACCCTCTCAAATTATAGCAAAAATTGAGGATTCCTTTAAATACAAGAAAACTACAGAGAATAAAATAGTAGATAAGATTATTTTGTAATCTGTGCACATTCATTTGTATCTTTTTTTATCTTGGATAGATAGAAATATGCCATTAGAAGTCACAGACTAATTTCTGGAAGAAATTAGAGTGATCTAAGTCCATTTTTTCTATGCTTTTGTTATTTTACTTTGTATTTAACCAGTATAGCTGTATTAAATTCCCAGTTTCTGCCCCCTTTTTGGGGGCATTTGGGAAGAGATTACAGTTCTTCAGAGATTTGTTACATGGTACAGATTATTATCAGGCATCTGCTTATGCAAAGCAAAATAATTTATGGTGAAAGTTTTGGGTTTTGGCTTTTTAGTGAAATTTGTGCTTTTTGGAAGAAAACAAACAAAATTGATTTGCCCCTTTATCTCTGTCCTCATATATTCTTAAGTTAAATTTTGGATATGCTATTTGCTAAGAACGTAAATGCTTGTTTTTTAACCAGTTATCTTTTAATTTTGTGAAACTAACCATTGTTTCTTCTAAACATTCAATAGGATTCTGATCTTCGAAGTGCACTTCTTTTGGAACAGGCAGCACATTGCTTTATAAACATGAAGAGTCCCATGGTTAGAAAATATGCGTTTCATATGATATTGGCAGGCCATCGGTTTAGTAAAGCAGGACAGGTGAGTGTATTTTATTTAAAATGAAAAGGTTCTATTTATTTATTTTAAAACATGTCATTTGTCAATTTTTTATGATTTAAAATTAATCGTAAAAGCTGAAATAAAACTTTGTTCTGAATTATTCTGTTGGTAAAAGTATAGCATTTGGGGCTGGAGCTACAGTTCAGTGGTAGAACACTTACCTTGAAGGTGTGAGGCCTGGGTTCGATCCTCAGCACCACATAAAAATAAACAAATAAATAAATAAAGATATCATGTCTATCTACAATTAAAAAAAAAAAGTATGGGTTTGGATTTAGACAAATATGGGCTTAGATCTTATTCTGTTCACAGTTTGACTTTGGCCAAGTTGCTTATCTTCTCTGAACCTGTTATTTTATTTATAAAATTTTGCAGTTTTACCCAAATTTTTAATGAGGTAAATGAAATTGTATATGTTAAGGGCCAGATACACTGTGCATTCAAGAAGGGCTGAATGTTCCCTACTTGAACCTCTGGTCTTCTCTTGTATTTGAGAATGCTTTATAATGGTTATTGACTAAATTTCTAATGTGTAGAGTTCTGTTTCTTGTCTCTCAAAGCATTTGAGTTGGAGGGATCTTTATTTATACTGAGAGATTTCTATATCCCTAGTTAGAGAGAGCTTTGCTGGAGAGTGAGCAGCATTGAGATAATGGTTTACTATAAGTATAAATAGAGATGCATACTGAATAATAATCTCTATATTACAGGAACTAGAAATTGAACATATACCCATAAAATCAACATGGTGTTGCCTTTTAAGGAGTTTTCCATCTAGTAGAGGGGAATAGGATTTTTAAAAATTTAGTTAATACTGTAAGTTTTTGTTGGTACTGGGGATTGCATTCAGGGACTCACATGTGTTAGGTAAATGCTCTACCACTGAGTTACATTCTCAGTCTTAATATGTTTTAATGAACATACTTAACATTTTTATAAGTCTTTGCTAACAAAACTTGCCAGTGCTGTAAATGTTATTTCAAAGGTACAAAGAGGGCTGGGATTGTGGCTTAGTGTTAGAGTACTTGCCTAGCATATATGAGGCCCTGAGTTCAATCCTCAGCATCACATAAAAATAAACAAACAAAGGTATTTTGTCAATGTACAATTAAAATATATTATATTTAAAAAAGGTGCGAAGAAAGATATTTAAAAATTCCTCTCAATTTAATGTGAAAGTTTTCTCTCTCTTTTTTTTTTTTTACTTTGTACTAGGGATTGAACCAGGTCACTTCACCACTGACCTATATACTCAGTCTTTTTTATTTTAAGATGGTCTTACTAAGTTGCTGAGACTCTCACTATGTTGTGGAGGCTGGTCTTGAAATTGGAATCATCCCTCCTCAGCCTCCCAAGTTGCTAGAACTACAGGTGTACACAAAAAACTTGGCAAATTTTTCTGATTTTTAGTAAGCAACATTTTTTTTTTTTTTTGGTACCAGGGATTGAACCAGAGATACTTAACCACTGAATCACATCCTCATCCCCCCCTTTTAAAAAATATTTATTTTTTACTTGTAGTTGGATACAATACCTTTATTTATTTATTTATTTTTATGTGGTAGTGAGGATCAAACCCAGGTCCTTGCACCTGCTATACAAGTGCTCTATGCTAGAGCCATCACCCTAGCCATCAGCCCTTTTTTATATTTATTTAGAGACACATCTCACTGAGTTGCTTAGGCCCTCACTGAATTGCTGAGGTTGTCTTTGAACTTGCATTGCTCCTGCCTCAGCTTTCTGAGGTGCTGGGATTACAGGCATGTGCTACCATGCCCAGCAATAAACAACATTTTTATATTGGGCTCCTCCTCTGTTTTTGGAATATGTGAAAAAGTAGGAAATATGTGGACTTATTGTATTTAAATAAAAAACCTTTAAAATGTTTGCATAAAAATCAATTTTATAATAATTGATATACTTCATCAATTAGAATTTCTCAGACTCTAAAGTGGGGAAAAAACGTTAAAAACAAACAAACTTATTTTTCATGATCCTACTTCCATAATAAGTGAAAATGCCTCTGAAACACGTAGTAAGTGAAAATGCTTCTGAAATACAATCTACTGTTTGTCTTTGAAACTTTTGTATTTTAAAAATGATGAATTAATAATATTAAGCATGTAATCTTTGTTTAGGAAAAATATGTCTTTTTCTATGTATGCGTCCACTTTTGTGAATATTTTTACTTGTGAGAATCGTAGTGTCATTGGAACTCTAAACAGTTGCTTGTTTTTATCTTCTCAAATTATAGGGTTTGTTGCTTCTAGGAAATGCCTAGCAAGTTAAAATGCTACATTTGTGTAGGTTGAGATATTTTGCTATGTGACTTTATAATATCTAACTGTAGTTACCTTACCCTGTCGAGTTAATGATTCCAAGTTGTCTGGGTTTGTTGTTTTATGCCACACTGTATACTCCAAACCCAGAAAAACTCTTTCAAAGACAGTCTGTGGAATCTGAGAGTATGACTAGGAATAAGGATCTGCTGGATTAGCCAATGTCTGCCCTATTGAAGTTAGTCAAGAACATTATTTTCCATAGAAGACAGAGCACATGGATTACATAATTTTGACTAAGACCATCTTATTTCTGAGAAACACTAACTTTTTATATTTCTGCTGAAAATCCAGGGTGTGTAGGTAGGCATAAGTGAGGAGGAGAGAAGAGATTACCTAGTAACGCCATTTCTCTTAGTCCTATCTCTGCTTGAATTCCTTGTCTTGCTCAAGGACTGGTTATTCTGAGTATTAGCAAGTCTGGGTGTTTTAAAAAAGAGAACAGGCATTATGAAAGTTTATAGTCAGTGAAAAATGTTTAGGAAAGTGCTGAGGAAGGTGGATATGATATTTTAAGTATAACCTGGATTATTTTACTTTCTGTTTTTACTTTAAAAGATAGATTTTAAGACCAGTGCTGTGGCGCACACCTGTAATTCCAGTGGCTTGCAAGGCTGAGGCAGGAGGATTGTGAGTTCAAAGCCAGCCTCAGCAAAAGTGAGGTGCTAAGGAACTCAGTGAAACCCTGTCTCTAAATAAAATGCAAAATAGGGCTGGGGATATGGCTCAGTGCTTGAGTTCCCCAGAGTTCAATCTCCAGTAAACTCCCTGCCTCCTACCAAAAAATAAAGACAGATTTTAAATCTTTTTTTTTTTTAATATTTATTCTTAAGTTTTAGGTGGACACAGTATCTTTATTTTACATTTATATGGTGCTAAGGATTGAGCCCAGTGCCTCCTGCATGCTAGGTGGGCACTCTACCACAACCCCAGCTCCAGATTTTAAACCTTTATTTAAAAATTTTAAATCTTTTTAGATACTTTTCCAAGAAATCTTAAAAAATGCACTTGAACTGGACACTTAGGCATTTTCAGTTGTTTTCTATGTCAGTGTTTACAATTGTGTTGCTTTACCAAATGCTCATAGAGATTAGCTTGTTTTTTTCTCCCAAGAAATATTATTTAAAAATTAGTTTGAAACAATTTCAAACTTAGAAAAAAATTGCAAGTTCAGTTCAGAAATTGTTTATCTGCACCAAATCAAGAAATTGGCAATGATATGGTGCTCCTGTCTAATCCTCAGACCCCATTTATGGTTTTTTAAAAATATGTTTTTTAGTTGTAGATGAACACAACACCTTTATTTTATTTATTTTTATGTGGTGCTGAGGATCAAACCCAGTGCCCCACTCATGCTAGGCAAACGCTCTACCACTGAGCTACAGCCCTAGCCCCCCCATTCATGTTTTGATCATTGTACCACAAGTATCCTTTACTAAAAGACATAGAATCTTTTGTCCTTTTTTACTCAAAGAATTCCTTAACTTCATGAACTTGTCATTTTTGAAGATCATAGGTCAATTTTGTAGCATGTCCATCAAATTAGGTTTTCCTGGTTTTTTTTTTTCATTAGATTCATTTCAAGTGGGAATCTTTATGGAAATGTCACAAAAGAGACACTATTTTGAATGCTATCAGGTGGCAGGTGATTTGGCTTTGATTTCATTAACAATCCAATCAGTATTTCTTAAAAAGCCCACAAAGACATCTCTGACTATAATTAGTACAAAGTTTTTAATTCCAGTTTTGAAAAGCAGTAAATACAAGAGTGTGCTGTGAGCCAGATGCAGTGACACACACCTATAGTCTCAACTTGGGAGGCTGAGGCAGGAGCATGGCAAGTTTGAGGCTAACCTTGGTGATGTAGACCCTGTCTCAAAATTTTAAAAGATGAAAAGGACTGGGGATGTAGCTCAGTGGTACAGTATCACTGGGGTTAAATCCTCACTACCACCTCCCTTGCTCTCAAAAAAAAAATTTATACACATACACATACTCTGAAACAAAGATTTAGTGGACAGAAGCCTCTTCTTGTTACCAAATCTCATTTGATATGAAGTCTTGTTGTGTTGCTTAGGCTGGCCTCAAACTCATGATCCTTCTGTCTCAGCCTTCCAAGTAGCTGGGATCATATAGGTATGCAACTGTGCCAGACTTCCATTGTTTTAAACGAAGGTTCTCTCAATTCAAAGGGTAGCAGTAATGGATAATTAATACCAAATATTTACTCTTGGTTGTTATGGGGTGCAGTGATAGGCAAAAGAAAAGAATACCAAAGTGTCACTACAAACACTAAAACAGTAGTGTAAAAGTGTGTGTGAGTGTGTGTGTGTTTGTGTATACACACACATTTACACTGTGTATTTGTAGTTGCAGCACAGACTAGGTATTTCCACTAAGCCTAATGCAGTGATATAAAGAGGGATAGTCATAGTAGAATTAGATTTCATAAGGTAATAGTTACAAGCTGGCATCCCTGACCCTAATCTATGATTCCATATGCTTCTGCTCTGGAGATTTCTGGTGTTTTCCACAAAGTTTGTATCATGCCTGATATCTTAGATTTCTTGTCTTCAGTCAGACAAAGCAGGTGCTTCCTTGCTTTAGGACTTCTGTGTTTTTAGGCTACACTTGTTTCCTTCTTTTCTCTCTCTTTTCCTTTGGTTCTCACAAAGTGGGCTGCTCTGGGAGAGCAGGCTGGCACTTCAGTGTAACCCAGGTACCTTTCTCTTTGGTTGCTTCTTTTTCTGATCACTTTTCTTCATGTGTTTCAGGAAGCTATCTTGGCTTTTAAGAGTGCTTAATATGCTCTCTATATACATTTTCTTGGCAATAATTTTGCCTTTAGTTTACTTGTTTACAACAGTTTCTGCTTCATGTTGGATGTCATTGTAGATGTTTCCAGTTTTGCCTTGGTATCATTTGTGGGACATTCAGTTTTGAATAGCTTTCATTCCCTTGGTGTCTACAATATTACCTTTTTTTTTTTTTTAAACTTTTCTTTCTTTATTTTTTTGAGAATTTTAATATGTATTTTTTTTTTAGTTTTTGGCAGACACACATCTTTGTTTGTATGTGGTGCTGAGGATCGAACCTGGGCTGCACGCATGCCAGGCGAGTGTGCTACCGCTTGAGCCACATCCCCAGCCCAAAACTTTTCTTTTTTAAAAAAATTTGTTTTAGTTACACATGACAGTACAATGATCTTGACATATCATACATTTGAATCAGATGGGGTATAATTTCTCATTTTTCTGAGTGTACAGGTTGCAGAATTACATTGGTCAAGCAGTCACGTATATACCCACAGCAATAATAATGTCTATTTTTTTCTGCTGTCCTTCCCTTCCCCACTTCCCCTCCCCTCCCCTCCCATCACTTCTCTCTACCCAATCTAATGTGACCCACTTCTTCCTCCCCCCCTCACATCTTCATACCTGTATTCTGTATAACGAAGGGGGTCTCCTTCTCTCTTCCATGCAATTCCCATTCTTCCTCCCTTTCCCTCCCACCTCTCTTCCCTACCTAGAGGTAATTTTCTTCTCATGCTCTTCCTCCTTACCCCATTTTGAGTCACCTCCCTTATATCAGAGAAGACATTCGGCATTTGTTTTTTGGGGGGGATTGGCTAACTTCACTTAGCATAATCTGCTCTAATGCCATCCATTTCCCTGCAAATGCCATGATCTTGTTACTTTTTAGTGCTGAGTAATAATTCCATTGTGTATAAACGCCACTTTTTTTTATCCATTCATCCATTGAAGGGCCTCTAGGTTGGCTCCACAGTCTAGCTATTGTGAATTGTGCTGCTATAAACATTGATGTGGCTGTGTCCCTGTAGTATGCCGTTTTTAGGACTTTTGAGTATAGTCCGAGAAGAGGAATAGGTGGGTCAAATGGTGGTTCCATTCCCAGTTTTCCAAGGAATCTCCATACTGCTTTTCAAATTGGCTGCACCAATTTGCAGTCACACCAGCAATGTATAAGTGCACCATTTCCCCCCATCCTTGCCAGCACTTGTTGTTTGACTTCATAACGGCTGCCATTCTTACTGGAGTGAGATGGTATCTTAGAGTAGTTTTAATTTGCATTTCTCTGATTGCTAGCGATGGTGAGCATTTTTTTTTTTGTGTATGTGTATTTGTTGATTAATTGTATATCCTCTTCTGAGAAGTGTCTGTTCAGGTCCTTGGCCCATTTGTTGATTGGGTTATTTGTTTTTTTGTTGTTTAACTTTTTGAGTTCTTTGTATATCCTAGAGATTAGAGCTCTATCTGATGTGTGAGGTGTAAAAATTTGTTCCCAGGATGTAGGCTCCCTATTCACTTCACATATTATTTCTCTTGCTGAGAAAAAAACTTTTTAGTTTGAATTTATCCCATTTGTTGATTCTTGGTTTTAATTCTTGTGCTGAAGGTGTCTTATTAAGGAACTTGGGATCTAACCCCACGTAATAGAGATTGGGGCATACTTTTTCTTCTATAAGACGCAGAGTCACTGATATGATTCCTAGATCCTTGATCCATTTTAAATTAACTTTTGTGCATGGTGAGAGCTAGAGATTCAATTTCATTTTATTGCATATGGATTTCCAGTTCTCCCAGCACCATTTGTTGAAGATGCTATCCTTTGTCTAATATAAGGTAGTTGCAATTTTGTGGATTGGTCTCTGTGTCCTCTATTCTGTACCATTGGTCTACCAGCCTATTTAGGTGCCAGTACCTTGCTGTTTTTGTTACTATTGCTCTGTAGTATAGCTTAAGATCTGCAATAGCAATACCACCTGTTTCACTCTTCTTGCTTAGAATTGCTTTAGCTAATCTGGGTCTCTTATTCCAGATGAATTTCATAATTGCTTTTTCTATTTCTGTGAGGAATGCTGTTGGGATTTTGATCGTAATCACGTTAAATCTGTAGAGTGCTTTTGGTAATATGGCCATTTAAATAATATTAATTCTGCCTATCCATGAGCAAGGTATATCTTTCCCTCTTCTAAGGTCTTCTTCTATTTCTCTCTTTAGGGTTCTATAGTTTTCATTGTATAGATCTTTCACCTCTTTTGTTAAGTTGATTCCCAAGTATTTTATTTTTTTTGAGGATATTGTGAATGGGGTAGTTTTCCTCATTTCCATTTCAGAGGACTTGTCACTGAACAATATCACCTTTGCTGTAGATTCATATGTATGTGGCCAAAGAAATAAATCCATGTTTTCTTAAAGGCCTAGAGAATGTATTTCAGGTACCTCTTTCTTTTTGTGTTTATCTTTTTGGTGAGTTACTGAAAGATGGTGGTTCTGGTTAAAAGGTTCTTTAGAGTTGTTCACACCTCCACCCCACCCCTTAATTTTGATTTTCATCTGAGATTCCTGATATTGAAAACCAGCCTTCAGCTTTGTAATCCTCTTTCTTTTTTCTAAAATCACAAGATTCTTTTGCTGAAGCATCTTCAAAGTGGCCACTTTATTCATTCACTGGGTGGTGATGGCAGGGTGATTGGTACCTGATGAGTCCAGAGCCAGATCTGGAGAAAAGCTCTCCATTGTCACTGATGAAACTTGGGTTTTTTTCTTTGAGATTTTATTTTTATGTAAAGATATGGCAAGTCTTTTCTGATTTTCTGTTAAAATGGCTGCTATACTCTATTAAAATCTTTTCTTGATGCTTTCCTGCTTTTCAAGCTTGCTTGCTTTTTTTTTTTTTTCCAGGTATTGATTGAACCCAGGGGTGCTTTACTACTGAGACACATCCCCAGCTCTCATTAAGTTACTGGGGGGGGCGGTGTCTCGATAAGTTGCTGAGGGTGTCCTTGAATTTGCTATCATCCTGCCTCAGACTCCCAAGTGTCTGTGATTATAGGTGTACACCATTGTGTCCAGTGCTTTCTGAAAGTTCTCTGTAGTATGTATGGTCAATGCAAATTTTCACCTCCTGATTTTTTATTATCTTTTCTATGAAGCATACTGTTGTACTCCTGTAAGAATGTGGTTATATGTACCTCTCTTGTGTGTATGGTGACATTTATTGCCATAAATGTTGCAGTTTTACTGTAATACTTACAGATTTTGGCATTCTGCACTATTTCCGTTCTGAGCACATTTCTTGTGTAGCATATAGTCGGTTTTAAAACCTTGCTGTTCTCAGTATTGCAGTAGGTGTGCTGAACAACAGGGTGTACACATTAATCCTTGTAGAGACCACCTTGAATAGGAACCTGTGCTGTCATCTGATGCTGGCAGAAAACCCCGCCATGTCATGCCTAAGCAGTGTTCACTGTGCTGCTGACCTAGTCCACTGTTTGAAAGGTATAGTGCACTACCTCATGGTTGTCAGGGCACTGGCCAGTGAGTTATGGTTGGCAGGCTGGTGAGGGTCAGCATGTCAGGGCTGATATGTGAATTTTAATATAAAAAAGTAAAGTTTACTTATATTTCATGTAAATCTCTATGTGACATGGCATATGTGGCCACATAAATTAAATGCATATTTTTGGTTTAGCCAAGTTTAGCGTTTTTTCAGTTGATAGAAAAGAAAGTTCTTTGAAAATATAGTACACTATGAGAACTGATTTTCACATAATACTAACAAAATCTACCTATCTTAGATGTTGAAAACTGTTAGTTTGGATAGGCCCTGCCTTCCAGAAAGAATTTGAAATAAATAAAGCAAAATTGAGAACTGAACATTTTCTTCTAAAGTTTACCTTTTTGTTTTTTTGTGGTGCTGGGGATTGAACCTAGGGCCTTGTGCATGCAAGGCCCAATTGAGCTATATCCCCAACCCTAAAGTTGACCTTTTAAGATGCCGCTCAGAGAAGTAGTGAGTAGAGGTCAGACTGGTCTTCCTGTCTCTTTCTTCATCCCTACACCTCTGCACCATAAACATACCCACTCACACACCCTTCGGATGACTGAGGAATCTTTATATTCCATATGTGATTGTATAATTTTGAAGAGGTTATCATAAATACTAGTTTTATTTTCTCTCACATCCTATTCTCTATTAGAGAAAGAACCACTTACTTAATTTTGTATACATGTGTGTGAGATTTATTTTATCTGGTCCAAGACAAATATGGATTGTACTTTGTTTTCTTTGTTTTCTTACAGAAGAAGCATGCTTTACGCTGCTATTGTCAAGCCATGCAAGTTTATAAAGGAAAAGGCTGGTCTCTTGCAGAGGATCACATTAACTTCACTATTGGGCGCCAGTCCTATACACTTAGGCAACTGGATAATGCTGTGTCTGCTTTCAGGCATATTTTAATCAATGAGAGTAAACAATCTGCTGTTCAACAAGGGGCCTTCCTTAGAGAATATCTTTATGTTTACAAGGTAAATACTGTTTCAGGAATAGATATTAAAATTATATTGAAGTTGTTTTCAGCAAAAAAGCACATTCAGCTGTCTTCTAGAAGTATAATAAAATGGTCTTGTTAGAGTATATATAATTATCCGTCTTAATATAGTTATGGCAGGCTAGGTTTCTTATTCAGACATCAGTTCAGTGTCCCTTTCAGAGTTTTTAAGAGAGAATTTTATATTTCTGTAAACATTTCGATTTGTAACTATTGAAATATTTAAAAAGAAAAGATGCCACAAGCCTTCTTGACTGTTTCTTCATCCTGTTTTTATAGAACCTCAATCAATTTTACAATAGTGGATTCTCTTAAAATCCTTTGAAAATACACATTTCTTTCGTTTCCTTATGAAAGATGAGGAGGAATGGATCTGTGAGAAGTAAACAAGCTATTACGGCATAACCTAGAAAAATTAATAGGAAGAAAAAATATTTCACTGAGGCAAGAGCATAGAACATATAAATATAAAGCATTGTTTTATGGAAGAATAGGAAGTTGTAATTTCCCCCCCTAAGGCCTGTAAATAATTATTTTATTTATCTGATATAAAATGACTACTCTGTTAGACTGCATTAATTTGAAATCATTTATATTGGAATTTTGGCAGATAGAATGCTAAAATGAGTCATAAGAAGTAAAATACATACCAAAATAACATTTGAAAGTGTAATATCAAAAGGGAACTAGCTAGCTAAGTAAACTTAGGAAGATCTTTGAAGGCAGAATAAGTGATATTTGAAGTTATTCTCAGTTATAAAATGTATGACTCTGACATTAAAACTAGTAATTATATGTCTTAATATTTTGCTTACATGTTTTTAATATCTAACACATTAAAAATGAAACATATGTGAAGAAAGTATAGTTTTCTTAAAAACTATTCTTTTTTCTTTATTTTGTATTTCTCCCAGAATGTAAGTCAGCTATCACCAGATGGTCCTTTACCACAACTTCCTTTACCATATATTAACAGTTCAGCAACACGGGTTTTTTTTGGCCATGACAGACGACCAGCAGATGGTTAGTAAAATTTTATTTGGTCTAAGTTATCTAATGAATATTTTTCTAAAGTTTCCTTTCTTCATTTAAAGAAATGTTATGTAGTTGAATATTTTAAAATAAATAACTTTATACAACTTTATCAGTTGTCCTGTCTTCTGACAATAACAACTACTTCATTGTTATTTTTTAACTTTAAAAACTAAAAACAACAAAAAAATTATAATTACAACAACTTCTCTCACATGGAAAGTACTTATGTTATATAATCTTGGTAAGCATTTTTGGTGTGAGATATTTCATTCAGTGTATATAAAGATTTAAAGTACTTTAACATTGTCTAGTTATATAGATTATTTCCATCTTTTTGCTTATATAAAATTGTGTTGTGATGAGCATCTTTGTATAAAACTTGTTTAACTGTTCATTGTGAAAAATTTCAAATGTACACAGAAGTATGTAACAGTTCTTGTCTTAAGACTTCAAAAAATATATAGGATTATATTATTTCCTAGGATTGAGCCTTGGAGTGGCACTCCTGGACCAAAAGTGTAAAACGTTACTATTAAGGTTCTTGATGTACATTGACATAAACTTTGTAATCCTAAATATTCTTATATTGAGCTTAATATTTCTCCTTGAAATCTAATTTAGTGTTCTTAAAAAATATTTATTGTGTTCATAGCCACTCTTTAAATTTTTTTTATTTTTTATTTTTTGGTACTAGGGATTGATCTTAGTAGTGCTTTACTACTGAGCTACATCCCCAGGCCTTTTTATTTTTAATTTTGAGACAAGGTCTTGCTAAATTGCTTAGAACCTTACTAAGTTGCTGAGACTGGCATTGAACTTGCAAGCCTCCTGCCTCAGCCTCCCAAGTCACTGGGATTATAGGTTAGTGCTACTGTGCCTGGCTTTATTGTTTTTATTTTTTATTTTAATTTGTTATATATGTCAGCAGAATGCATTACAATTCATATTACACATATAGAGCACAATTTTTCATATCTCTGGTTGTATACAAACTATATTCACACCATTCGTGTACTTAAGGTAATGATATCCATCTCATTCCACCATCTTTCTACCCCTCCCCTTTGCTCTATCTAGAGTTCATCTAATCCTCCCATGCTCCCCCTCCCAACCCCACTATGAATCAGCCTCCTTGTATCAGAGAAAACATTCAGCATTTGGTTTTTGGGATTGGCTAACTTCGCTCAGCATTATATTCTCCAACTGCAAATGCCATGATTTTATTCTCTTTTATTGCTGAGCAATATTCCATTGTGTATATATACCACTTTTTTTAATCCATTCATCTACTAAAGAGTATCTAGGTTAGTTCCACAGTTTAGCTATTGTGAATTGTGCTGCAATAAACATTCATGTGGCTGTGTCCCTGTAGTGTACTGTTTTTAAGTCCTTTGGGTATAGACCAAAGAGTGGGATAGCTGGTTCAAATGGTGATTCCATTCCAAGTTTTCCAAGGAATCTCCATACTGTTTTCCAGATTGTCTGCACCATTTTGCAGTCCCACCATCAATATATGTGTGTGTCTTTCCCCCCACATCCTTGCTAACACTTATTGTTGTTTGACTTTATAATAGCTGCTATTCTGACTGGAATGAGCTGAAATCTTGGTTTTGATTTGGATTTCTCTAATTGCTAGAGATGTTGAACATGTTTTCATATATTTATTGATTAATTGTATATCATATTCTGAGAAGTGTCTGTT